GACAAAGAAAATAGTATTGTGATTCATATCTAAATGCCACAGTGCACAGGTTTCAGTACATGTCATTCTTCATGGAAAATAACTCAGATTACCAGGTGATGTGACAGATCACATTAAATAGAAAAGGGATATACTGAAAAGCAGGAATAGATAATTCTGGGTTCATGAGAGACTGTACCTTGAACTATTCATCATTCTGCTACTTTTTAACATTTACCTGAGCCTCTGAAAGTGTATTCATTTTGTGATCACTATATAATGGCTATTTACACAAGAGGCATGGTGGCATAGTCGTCTGTGGTCCTACAATTTGTGATCAGAGTTGCCTCCCTTAGGTGTGCCAGAACAATGCAAGAAACCTACTTTTGAGTTTGAACCCTGGTTTGCCCTTGCCATGTACCTAGGTTTGTAGGCATCACGCTGATGGGTTTCACCAAAGTGGAAAATGTCTGACCTGTATTACTTAAAGAGTTCCTCCCACATCACAATAACATACATTGATATACATGTACAGTGGAAGCTGTCAAAACCGGCAGTTGTCCAATCCGGCAAGCTGTCAACACCAGCATAAAATGTCAGTCCCGTCCTGTGGCTAGTGCAATTATCATCAATTAAAAGCTCTGCAATCTGGCAGCTGTCAATTCTGGATCTCAGCATGAACTGAGCCACCCGAATATGGGTTTATACTGTAATCAGCGCTGTCTAATCCGGCGCGTGGCTAGGATTCGGCTGGATGTGTATTGTCATCAAGTAATCTTGTGTTGCATGTGTACATGGTTGCCGACAAAGACATTTTAATCTTAGTTCAGCATGGGTATATTTGTACTGTACATGTAACTGGTGAGTTGACATGTTCTATTGTGATAAAACAATGTATATGAGAGTGACAAAACTTGTTCACTTCTAGTTGAAGGTAACCGTGTCATCTGTACAATCCGGCACAGTGTCTAAACCGGATTATTTCTTTAGTCCCGACAAGTGCCGGTTTAGGCAGCTTCCACTGTTCCAGTAAATGAGACTAGAGGTGTTCCGATTCATTGAAATGTCAAAGGTTGGTCATATTGACCAAATGACCAAGCTTTTAGTCTTTGAAACACTTGATAACGTAACATATCTTTGAAGTTGTCAGGGTTAGAAGGGCCTGACCTAACTGGTCATGACTGGATATTTCTTGAAGACTCCGGGAAGTTTATGTTCTTGATATCTCAGTCACCACATTAAAGTAGCAAGTTGCATCATACTTATCTGCAATAACAACCTGAATAAGAAAATCTGAAAAATGACGCTAACCAATTTTTTTGATGATTACTAGTTGGTAATAAAGCAATCATCAATTGTGAGATTTCAACCAATTCCCAACACTAAATGAGACACTGTTCAATCACTCACCCACTCACTAATCACCAATGGCAAGAGTTTTGTGCATCACATTTTAGGAAATATTGCTGTTGCAAAATATAGTCAATAACAAATATATTTATAAACATCTGGTAGCACCTCCAACAATCACAATTAAATCAATTCAAAGAGGATCTCATTTCATTAAATCATTTCAAAAGTGCTAAATTTGTGTTTGTTTAGAATAAATAATATCCATGATCATTTCAATACTAATCTCGCAGATCTCAAGAAAGGTTAAATATTTATAATTGATAATACATCCCTGCTTGTATTGATGAAATCGATAAATAGTGACAGCTAGCTATATTTTTGTTGAGAGAACTGTTCCAGCCATTAATGACAAATGATGATCGTGACAAAGAGAAGAATCATCTCCCTACTACAGCTCTACAGAAAGGAAGTACTGACCTCTGGAATGAAAAACAATTTCACAGCATTTTTCCTTCTCTTGATCTCCGTTAACATATCCAAAAACCCTTTTACAGTAGCCTACAGGGCTCGAGCTTGTGTATTGTATTGTGTGGCTGCATGTGTACAAACAGTGGTTGTACTCAATTTCTGTACTGGTGACAAAACTGACAATTTTGTCTTACAATCAATAGTAATGACACAATCACGATAACTGAGTCCTCTCACCAAACATATCAGATCTATAGTGGAATATTTAGACTAAACATATTCATCTAATTTCACTCATTTGTAGTTCAGTTTTAGCATCCCCTTCCAAAAACAACCCTATCACTGTGAGTGTGACCACCATAAGCCCATGTTAAAACATGGGAGTTCCGATTATCTTAGCATTAAGGCAGCTTTGTGGAGTATAATTCCACAGGCCAGTATCATAATATTGATTGTACAATAAAAACAACAGCTTCATTAGCACAGAACATGTTATCCTGTGTCCAAACTACATATTCTTATACATACAGCCACACAACACAATACACAAGCTCAAATATTCCTGGGATTGGTTAGGTTTGCCGGAATCTAAAATTGGCTATGACAAGGTGACAAAGACCCCTTGATTTCCGTGAATTTCTTGAAATGACTAAATGTCATACATATAGCCTAAAGGAAGCAGGTCAAATCAGGTAGACTTATTATTCCCCTACAATTCCATATCTATGAACCACATGTTTCCATTAACACTGACTGACTGAGTTTGGTTTTACGCCGCTTTTAGCAACATTTCAGCAACATCACGGCTGGGGACACCAGAAATGGGCTTCACACATTGTACCCATGTGGGGATTCGAACCCGGGTCTTCGGCGTGACGAGCCAACGCTTTAACCATTAGGCTACCCCACTGCCCCTTTCCATTAACAAGTTTCCAACCACAAAGAGTTCAGGAAATATATTGGGAGAGTAATGATGAACACATGGATGAAAAAGAGGTCAGTAAATTTAGTTGATAGGCGATATCTAAATGTGTCTTTGCATCTCATGGTGACAAAATAATATTTTCAGTCACCACTCAACAGGACGACCTTGCACAGAGTGTTAACACAGAGATTACAATGCATTCAATGTCATACACGTGGTCTAGTAATATCATAAGCAGACAGGATACATACTGAATTGATGAAATTAGTTTCTTAAATGTTGAAACTCATCTTACAGTGGATGATGATATGTGCATCACAGAAGTACAATCATTACCCGCTGTCAGCTGATCACAATCGGAATCTATTATTGTGTTTGCATGCAGATTCATATTAATAAACGTAATACAACATGTGATATATATGGCAACACATTGTACAATAATGACAAATGTAAAGGAAAACCTGTTATTGGACAAGCTGATGCATTTTCATGACAATCCCTAATTGATGGAATGTTTAACAGAAACAGAAAGAAGTTGATCCAATTTGCAGAATATGAACACATGCTCTTTGTAACTTACAGTAATAGATATACTACTCAAAAGAGTGAGTGAGTGAGTTAGTTTAGTTTTAGTACTTTTAGGCCACACTCAGCAATATTCCAGCTATATGGCAGCGGTATGTAAATAATCGAGTGTGGACCAGACAATCCAGTGATCAACAGCATGAGCATCGATCTACGCAGTTGGGAACAGATGACGTGTGTCAACCAAGTCAGTGAGCCTGACCACCCGATCCCGTTAGTCGCCTCTTACGACAAGCATGGGTTACTGAAGATCAATTCTAACCTGGATCTTCACAGGTGCTACTGAAAAGAAGTTAAAGTACATCTGATATTTTCCCCACTCCTCTTTTGAGTAATAATGACTGAGGATGTCACTAACAGGTTAAAGGGTAAGGCGATGCTATCTTACAAGTCATACCTATTATAAGAGAGTGAGTGACTAATATCACACACTGCAGTTACACTATAGCATTCAGATTCCAGCAGCCTACCGTATATGACCGTCTATAAGCCGAATTTTGAGGAACAAAAAAAGCAGTCTGTAGAAGGGGGTCGTCTTATCCATGGGTTACGCTTTCGTCAAACTTTTGTCCAGGGGTAAATAAACAACATCGTATCACTTCGCGTGAACAAACAACAGAAGACAACTTTGTCAGTAAAAGACGTCAAATTTGCAATTAAACATCACTAGACAAGATTATTTACCTCTTAAGTTATAAGTTGTTTTTGCTGGGCATTGTATTATTTGCAGGGATTAAGATTACAGTGTATGTTATCTTACTCTATGACTTGACACTAGTGGTTGATAGCATAAGCAACGATCCTGGACATAAGGAGGATATGTATATTCTACTCAACTTTTGATTGGGATAAGCATCTTGATATGCACTTGACAGGTAGGAGAATGGGTTTTGTGGAAAAATATAAACCTGTCCCTATCTAAATTGTTGCATATTTGAAAACTGTGACATGACAACACAAATGATAATGATGATAAGTTCCCCTCAAAACTGAAGTTGGACCAATTTACGTCAATGTTATGAATGAATTTCAAACAATACCAGAAAATGTTCATAAGTGTCAACAACTGTTGACCTTCTGTACATTGTATGTTTACTATTTGTGATCAAAGCAAGTTACTTGTGTATAGATGTGTATAGACCCTCTACATCACAACCATTTAGTTCCGTGCTGGACATACTACAGGGTCCTGCGAGGCATCGTCACCACAAGCTTCTAACTTGCCTTTGTGCCTCTATAGAAAAATCAATATGTGAGGATTGAAATGGTCTGTGCCTTTATGACTGCATTATCATCCATAACTGTCAGTTATCCAAACAAAAACACAAAAGTCAAACAAACGATCATCTATAAACATGAAAACAGGTCCCTTGAGCATGTGCAAGTAAGAATGGAACTTTTCTGAGTTCTCAGTATGAACATTCCTCAACGTATGGGTATTCAATTCTAGCGCCATGTACATCAAATGACCATTATTGATAGTGACTGAAACTGCAACTATAAAATAACCCTACAGACTGTCTACACCGACAAGCAGGTGATTCTACCTGTCAACACAACCCTAGCATTCTATCGGTGCAGTGCCACTTTTGACACTCCCTTGCCCCACAGTTTGCATGCCGAGAGCTTATACAGTGAGCGCACCTGTTTCACGTACTACGTCAGGAGTCAGTTAGTGCCAACTTACCACGAAAACTAAGGTGTAGAGAAACAACAGAAGTTTGTTGCAGCTATATGCGGTGCAGGCACACATAGATCTCCTCGGGTGCTTTCTGTTCGGCCGTAATTCCGGGAGCATTCGCTCCATGCCTTCAGACCCTGCCGCCATTGTGTTCGTTTGATGACCTAGATGGTAGGGGCTTGATCACATGACAGTCACATGACAAACTCCAAAACAATATGACAATGGCGGGGAATTTAAAACAAGATGAATGCTCATCGATTTTTATTGTTAAAGCAGTCTTTGTCCCTTTCCATAGAACTATACATGCTGTAAATACTTGTTTACCAGCTGTTAACAAGAAGAGGTGTCCGATCCAGAAGCAATATTTTAAAGACATGAAAATGATTCATTGTCCCAGGATATAAGTGAAGTTTAAACATTAATGACTTGAATTAAATCTGCTGTCATTTTGCCTCGCCTAATCTAAGGTTATTTTTGTTAGGTCAACAGGACGACCTTGCATAGAGTGTTAACACAGAAATTACAATGCATTCAAAGTCATACCTAGTAATATCATAACCAGACGGGATACATACTGAATTGATGAAATTATCGTCAAGTCTCGAAGTTTCGACTCCTGTTGATATCTTTGATTTCAAAACACACTCGGGGGAGATTTTATTTTTCAACACAATTCATTTTGTAAACATGTTTAACAGTAACAGCCATGGTCTTGAGTGTGAAAAATACATCTAACCAAAGAGTGAGTAAGTGAGTTGGGTTTTACGCTGATTTTAGCAATATTTCAGCAATATTACGTCGGGGGACACCAGAAATGGGCTTCACACATTGTATCCATGTGGGGAATCGAACCCGGGCCTTCGGCGTGACGACCACTAGGCTACCCCACCGCCCCCTAACCAATGAGATTAGTGATGTCATATGCTTGTGACGTCATAATGATCATCAAGCCATTAACTGTGATTAATTTTCACAGCAGTGATATTCACTTGGCGATATCATATAATGGATAGTATTAATAATGTGATAAACCCAGCCATTAACCTTGATACAAGTTTACAAATGAAGTGGCCTTCCAGAAACTACTAGTAATGTACTGCATGCATCGACGCATTGTCCACTTCGCCAAAATACCATTTATGTTTGCGCCACGCGAACCGCTTCGACAGTTGATGTCAATGATCTTTATTTTAGGGCCATGGAATAGGCTAGTAGTTACAGTTGTCTCGCTAAGCCGGTCTGGGGTTCGATTCCCATATGTTTACAATATGTAAAGACTATTTTTGTGTTCCCGTCGTGATATAGCTGGAATACAAATTCGATTTATTTTATAGTCGCTCATTCAACAAAGCTGGTGTTCGGCTGAAACTGACCGTCGCAGGTGCCCTTCAACCCCGGGTATAAAGTACACACCACAGTAGCATGAGCCAAAATAGCCTCTCGTGGGTTACATGTACCAGGTTCGAACTATTTTCTTTGTTACTGTGTTACTTTGAATTACGTAGTGTCAGAGTTTCCTTTACACAGGCAGATAGTCGAAAACGTCGTATTCAAGATAATATGCCACAAACATTTCCAAATCTGCAGGTACACTGTTAAGTTGAGAAATTAGCAGTGAAGGCGAACGTATATATGACGACATAACGAACACGTCATTCAACGAAATCCTAAACCAAGATCTAGAAATAACCTATAAACAAAATCCACTGCACGGACAGAGATGGCGCATTTTATGTGCGCTTCAAAATCAACTAATCTTTAGTACACTGTAGTTGACGAGAAGGATTCACATGCCTTAAGGTTGTTGTCTCAGACAACGATCACATATCATGGTATGCGATTGTAGGAATATTCATGCATTTAGTTTGCTTACTCGACAAAGAGTCGTCCTCAGCACCCCTAACCCCCCACCCAATGTGCCCTTACATACTCCCATCTTGTATACCTTCCGTCGAAGTGATTGTCAGTACCCTTTCAACAACTGGCTATACATTTGTGACGGCCCGTGTCATTCCGAGACAATGGGCTTCTTGCAGGTTACGAATCCCTGTCAAAAGTCGTATAAGTCTACCACGTGCTTCATTATCAACAGAAGGATCAGCTATGTACTCCAAGTCAACAGAAGGATAAGCCCTGCTACGTCACCCCGTCAACAGAAGGATCTCCCTCCCTGCTATACAGTAGTAATAGTAGTCCATTTATATTGCGCAAGTATCCATGCACATTGCATGCTCAAAGCGCCGACCTTTATCATCCAAAACTATGTTCCACAGGAGATATCGCTTGTGTGAGATCATATGATATCTCCTAGGAGATACCGTTTTGACAGTAGATTTTATGCAAATGCCATGACAATGCTATGACGTCATGAACTTGATGACGTCACAATGCTATGCCATAGCTGCACAGCAATTCTAATGGTAGTACAGTGTTGAGAGATGTACATTTTTCATTGAAAACTAATGAAGAATGATTTTTGATGATAAATAGAATCTCACCCTCGTGTCTACTGATATCAATTATATCAACACTCGTTGATAAAGGTGAAAATATCCTCGGGAAGCCTCGGATATTTGTAACTTTATCAACTTGTGTTGATATAATTGATATCAGTAGACACTTGTGTGAGATTCTCTATTTAGTGCCTGGCAGACGCTCAAGGTTCAGACTACCATCGTATCATACCAGGTACCCAATTTTACTGCTTGGTGGAGAGAGGCATGTTTGAACGTTACAAACTCACTTGCCTAAGTTGAGACCACATGTATCACATGTATACTCGTCTTAACAGGAGGATGGACCTTGCTACAAACTCCCCATCAACAGAAGAAGCAATTGTGCTACACAATCCCCATCAACAGACGGATCAGCCCTATCACATAATTCCCGTAAACAGTTGGATCAGCTCGCTACACAATCCCTATCAACAGACGGATCAGCCCTATCACATAATTCCCGTAAACAGTTGGATCAGCTCGCTACACAATCCCTATCAACAGACGGATCAGCCCTATCACATAATTCCCGTAAACAGTTGGATCAGCTCGCTACACAATCCCTATCAACAGACGGATCAGCCCTATCACATAATTCCCGTAAACAGTTGGATCAGCTCGCTACACAATCCCTATCAACAGACGGATCAGCCCTATCACATAATTCCCGTAAACAGTTGGATCAGCTCGCTACACAATCCCCATAAACAGACGGATCAGCCCCATCACAATATTCCCGTAAACAGTTGGATCAGCTCGCTACACAATCCTCGTCAACAAAAGATCAGCTATCTACATAATCCCCGTAAACAGAAGCATCGCTCCTGCTTCATATTTCCCCTCTACACAACAACTGAACCTTATATTGTTCTTGTTTAAATGAAGGTGCACAGCCTTCTGGCAACAGATTGTCGACCCACGTTGGGATCTGGACCACTTTCTGTCCCAAGGTTGGATACCTTGTCCACATGTCCTATGTGTTCACGCCGTCATCAAGGCTATGATCAGCCGGACAGCACGCCCTGTTGCATTATTATGTGCTATCCCTTCCAAAATAGTTCAATTAATACGGTTAGTTGAATTTAGCCAGCAACATGTCACGACAACCCGCACCAGCATCTGAAATAGCACGAAGTGGTCTATTGATGGACGTATGAGGTAAAGGTAGAGATCTCCCTATCTTATCACCAACGCCACGTGATGATCAGCCTTTGTACCCTGGTACGTATATACAGAGAGCCCGGTCACTCACTCATAAGCAGCCGGAGTAAGCGGGTGTGACGCAGGTTTCACCACCATGAAATTCCTCCTAGTCTTGATCGCCGCTGCATTTGCATCAGGTAAGTTGATTTGGAATAGGATTTGTCAATTGACAAATTGAGTGAGTGAGTGAGTATGGTTTTACGCCGCTTTTAGCAATATTCCAGCTACATCACTCGGGGTACACAAGAAATGGGCTTCGCACATTGTACCCACGTGGGGAATAGAACCCGGGTCTTCAGCGTAAACGCTGTAACCATTAGGCCACCCCACCGCCCCTATTGACAAATTGAAACGCAGGACATATACATGTATAGCGTTTGTTAGAAAACACCTTGTTTGGAGATAAACTGTGTGTTTGTTATTCAAACACCTGGAAAAGGAAAAGGTAAATGTTTCAAATACATGGCTCTATATGTCATCGAGTAGTTGCTCTCCGGTCCTCAGGTAATCCACTCCTAAAACAACAGTCTAGATAACATAGTACCTAGTGACACATCACACATCTACCCGTCAGCTTATACTGACTGCCCAACCCAGGCAACCATCGAGAACAGTTGTTCCCCCAGGTTACACAAAAATCAATTTTGATCTTGGAATGAAATTCCAGATTCTCGCTGATAACGATTCATGATTTGTAAGCACAATACCCCAGCTCGTGGTCCGGGGGTTTCACAAGGGTGAAAGTCCTCAAGTATTGATCCTGTTCATAGCGGTGTAAATCCCAACTTACTACATGGTTGTATACGTACTATTCACACTGAACTCCACGTTCCAACCAATTCCATTATTTAGCTCACCTGGCCCGAACGTCCACGTTTAGCAATATATTAAGATGACTTCAGAATCGCTTTGTCGATGCCATGACGAGACGTTCGTTAGCTTTACATTGAGATATTCTTAAGAACACCTTCGTAGATGTCGAGACGTCTCGTTCGTTAGCTATACACTGAGATATAAATCGCTCTATATGTCACCCTAACCCTATCGTAAGAACATCTTTGTAGATGTCGAGACGTCCGTTCGTTAGCTATACACTGAGATATCGTAAGAACATATTTGTAGAGGTCAAGAAGAGCCGTCCGTTACCCATAAATTGGGATACCTTAAGAACATCTTTGTACATAAATTGGGATACCTTAAGAACATCTTTGTAAATGTCAAGACGACTGGTTCGTTAGATATACACTGAGATATCTTAAGAATATCTTTGTAGGGGTCAAGACGACTCGTTCGTTAGCTATACACTGAGATATCTTAAGAAGATCTCTGTAGATGTCAAGGCGTCCGTTCGTTAGATTTACACTGAGATATCTTAAGAATATTTTTGTAGAGGTCAAGACGACTCGTACGTTAGCTATACACTGAGATATCTTAAGAAGATCTCTGTAGATGTCAAGAAGAGTAGTCTGTTACCCATACATTGGGATGCCTTAATAACATCTTTGTAGATGTCAGGACGAGTCGTCTGTCACCCATACATTGGGATGCCTTAAGAACATCTTTGTAGATGTCAGGGTGGGTCGTTCGTTAGATATACACTGAGATATCTTAAGAACATCTTTGAAGATGTCAAGAAGAGCCGTCTGTTAGCTATACACTGAGATATCTTCACAACCACTTTGTGTTTGCTGAATTGACCACACATCTTTAAGGTTTGTGAGTATCAAGTTTGATATATCAGTAAAATTGCCCGCAAAAGCCAAACAAATGTAAAGATTAGATGTCTTCCCTGAAATCACAAGGCCAAGGAAGACTTCCTTCGCCTGATAAAGGGACAAGAAGCAGCCGCAGTTGCCAATCAAAGGTACCACGTCATCAAATCACTCTTCCAGTATTTAAAGACAGAAGACCAAGAAACTAAAACTGTATCAGTGATATTGATCACAATTCGTCTGAAGGTGTTTGAAACTGATATGATTGAAACTAGGCTGTGGCAGGCCATGATGAAATAGTATAATTTTTTGTAAGTTTAGGGCCGTGGGGTGGTCTTGTGGTTAAAGTGTTCACTTGTTGCGTCTGTGCCCGAATTTGAGTTTGAGTCCCCACATGGGCCATTTTTAATGATCATACTTGTAGGGATCATTTCTATAGCGTGCATCGCCAGTCAACCAAAGCACGAGGACGTGTAAATCTTCCATTGTGTTATTACTTACACTTCTCTAAAAGCGGCTTAATAACCGAGAAATGACAAAGTGAAGTGAATACTCTCTAGATATGAAATACATCTAGATCAAAGTTCACATGAATCAGAACACAGCCTCATTTAAAGTATGTTTGCGGACATCCAGCTAAGCACTAAGTAATGCTACCCATGTTAGCTGCTCATATAGGAGCATAGGTGTCGAAGCTGTACACATCCTTCTTCACCAACATGGATCTATTGAGATGGGCGAGGCACAGTCTCTAGCTCTGTTTCTATACATAGAGGCAGGGATACTATATAAGTATAAGACTATTGTAGAGTATCCCTGATAGAGGTGATAAATCCTGCTCCAGAACTCACATGGTAAATACTGATATGTTATGGGTTATCGAAAAGGATTTCACAAGTTGTAAAGTAAATTTGTACATACAGTTTATATTGTGAGTGAGTGTATTAGTGAGAAAGTGAATGCAAAGGTTTCTGAGTGAGTGAGTGAAGGACGACGGTCAATCGTCGAACCTACAACAACCTGTGGTCGACACCACCACAATATCTATAATTGGTAATGTGACCCTGAGAAGCATTTCACTTGAGAACATGTATTCAAGGCTCGTAAAAGTACATTGCAATACCATTTGTGATTCCGACTAGAATAGATTCCCGCTATTGGGTCGAGTTCCTTGCGTGTCATCCCTCCCGACCGCGTGAGAGATTGTTCATAATATTGATCATTGTATTGTGTGGTCGAGACTATTATTCACAGCTCCAGTCGCTGTCGGAAATAACACATAAACTTCATCGCTAGTTAGCTCCAAATCCATAGAGAATAACTCAAGCCTAGAATGAGGGTTCAAGTCTAGATTGCGTCATCCCTAGGCCTAGAATTCAGAATTGTTCCTTTTATATTTTTTTTCATATACCTTTGTAGATATATATATTTTAAACATAAAATTTCATTTATGTGACTAACTGTAAGTCTACCTGATGTGAGTCACGGAGCGGTCAACGTGCAAGGGTAACGCGACGGCATGGTCTCTGCGCGACAGGTAGTGTTGCCTGATAACCAGTCTGTGGTCCACTTTCAGACGAAACGGGTCAGGGTCATGCCAGTTTCCGTTAGGGGTCAAGTTCCATTACTTATTTGCAACGGTGGACTGAAGCGTACGGAAACCTTTTAGGGCCATTCGTTTCATTCTTTCTTTCTTGAGATATCAACTTATCTTGAAATTTCAAGATAGTAACTTAAATTTTCAACATATTTATTTAAATGAAAAATTCTTATCTTAAAGTTTCTAGTTAATTGACTTGATATTTCAATGTTATATGTATCTTGAAATATGAAATTACAACTAAACATCTTGAAATTTCAACGTAGTATCTTGAAATCTAAAGAATAAACGAATGGTGCAAATAGGCTTCCAGAAGTAACAAGTCAGTCTAGAGGTGTAGCCATCCTATTTCAAGATAATTTTGAATTATAAATACTACAAGTAATAAGAGATGAACATAATGGAAACCATATAATACTTAAGGTTAAACTAGAAAATGAACTGATAAGCATAACACATATATACGGACCAAATACTGATACGCCAGATTTCTATCATAACATAAAAATATTGTAAAAAGCTTGGAAACAGAAACAAATGTAATATGTGGTGATTTCAATCTGGTTCAAGATCAAACCCAAGACAACTTCAACTATATGCACATAAATAATCCTAAATCAAAACGTGTACTCCCGAAAATAATAAGCGACGATCAAAAAGGCTTCATGAAAGGTAGATACATTAGTGAATTGGTCAGTGACATTATGGAATATACAGACTATTTGAATACACCAGGATTATTGATAATGACAGACTTTGAAAAAGCTTTCGATTCCGTGGAATGGTCGTTTATTGAGAAATGATTTAATTTCTTTAATTTTGGACCAACAATCCAACATTGGATTAAAACATTTTACAATAATATTAATTCTAGCGTGTTAATAAATGGTTTTGCATCAGACGTCTTCCACAGTACTAGAGGCTGTAGACAAGGTGATCCTCTATCGCCATATCTATTTCTCATAGTCGCAGAAATCCTTGCTCACATGTTACGTCATAATGACAAAATAGAAGGGATAAAAATATTTGGCTTAGAATATTTGCTAACACAGTTTGCAGACGATACAACTATACTACCCATCAAAAGTTTAGACTTACTAGTGTAAATGTAGCCACTTACTTCAGTCAACTGTTCTAAACTAGATTTTGCAAAATAGTCCATACTGGTTAAAGGTACTGTTTACACATGAACTGATGTATTGTAAAACAAATTCGTAACGATGAAAAAATTATTGTCATGAGTTCAATAAACGAGGAAGCTCAGTGAAAATTGGCGAATTCTTAACGAAACTTTACACCACAACGCAGCTGTTGACATACACGATATTTGCACATGCTTTTCAGCAATTTGATGCAGGATCCTCATGCAATTCATCAGCATAAGGTTTGTAGTTGGTTCCCCCATGTTAGGGGAGAAATTCATCTTCGATGTAACCACATGAAATTACTGAAATATTGGCTTAGGGATTTCATGAAATCCCTGTAAGCCCTTATTGAAATAGAGAACACCAAATTTGTAATGCGAGTACAGAGTATTTCCTGATAAAATTCATTTGTTGGGACAAGATAGAGTGTTATCATACAAGCTATTACACTTCAGTAGCACTTTAAAGCATTTACAACGTATTGATTTACACTGGTTAAGACAACAGGTACATTTCTGGAAACCCTGACCACCACAATTCGACTCGAAAATCACAGCTGTGTGGAGAAACAGTTCTTTGTCCATTGTCACATCATTCGTACAAACATGCAATATATGGTTTGAAAAATACCTTTTCCTTCCCAAACCCATATCCCAAAGCTCTTCTTCAACAGCGGGATGATGTATATTCCAAGTTATTTCTATGAATGGTCTAGTCTGTTTAAACTTAAACGTCTATTTTCAAAATGTTTGAAAAACCTTGCTAATTTTTAAATGCTATATCATAGTAAAATGTTGAGCCATTCCGTACGGAATTATGAGAGACACTTGTGCAACAATATACAGAGTATAATATATGAATATTAAAAATGGAATAATAAGGGTACAAGTTACATTAAGAAGATATTAAAAAAATTGCAGTACGCTTTTTAAGAATATTAAGGCAGGTTTAAGGACAAGCTAGAAGAAAACTAACTTTTTCAACATACCCAGATTTTCAGAAAAAACATCTAAAAGACTTGTACATTTAGATAAAAGTTGCAATCGCTCATCAGCATACAAAGGACAATGCAATAAAACATGACACTCATCTTCAATAAAATCTTTACAGTTTCGATTCTAAGCGGCGCTACCGCACATCTAAACAAAGCTATTCCTTTTCTCATAGAGCGAGACATTACAACTAACATAAAAATCACTGCAAAAATCCACCTTTAAAGTACAGTACGTGTGTAACTTATTACCTCCCCTACCAGTTAAACTACCAACTTGTAAGAGGTCCTGTTTCCATTTATAAACGAAATCGCTAAAAACAACGTCTGTAACTTTCGAAACTAAAAAATGAATATTGATTAAATTATTAATCATAACAATAAGATGCACCAGTGTGATGCTGCGATAAGACATTGGGTCTCTCAGGTTGTCAGCTCCAGACTTAGGGGTAGGGGTCCAACTGATCCCCTGGGCCCAGTTGGAGGGTACATGTCGAAAACAGTTCATGAAGATAATCTATACAGATGTCATTTGTCAAAACATCAACTGGAATATTATCGAAACCCGGTAATTTCCCTCTCTTAGCTTGACTTAGTGTCATCAGTAAATAGTCAAAGTTTTCAACTCCTAAGACCTAAGGGATGAAATGAGACTAAACAGTAAAGCCGTGAGAAATGAACTTGGTATCCCGACTCAAGGTAGTAATTAGCCAAAAGTGTCATCGGTAAATTATCAAACTTTTCAACTCCAAAGAACTAAGGGATGAAATGAGACTCAACAGTAAAGTTTTAAGCTACAAACATTAATTTCACACATTCACTGATATCCTAACAGGGAATGTGTGTAATGGGACACCATGAAAATCAGTAATTTCATGAAATCCCTGGAAATTTTAGGGAATACATGAAATCCCTGGAGTCACAGTGATTTCGCGAAATCACTGAATCTTTCAGGGATTACGTGAAATCCCTGGTTTCACACATTCCCTGTAACATATATACATAACATATAGTGAATGCTTTAAGTGAGTCTAAACTTTTGATGGACAGTGTATAATTTTAGACGGATCTGAACGTTCTTTTCAAACAGCATTAGAAGTACTTAACAATATGCATCCTTCTATGGTCTTAAAGACAAATTGATAAAACTAAAGTAGTGTGGATAGGTTCTAAACAATTCTCAAGTACACAGTATTGCAGAGACTATATAATCTGGACTGGACGCAGAGACCTTTCAAACTGCTAGGTATTCTATTTCAACATAATAAGGCAGAGATGGTGGAAAGAAACTATAAAGATAAACTAAAGAAAATGGAAACTTTGGAGAGGCAATTTAGACAAAATTAAAAGATGTTTGATAATCAGAAACTATAAAGAAGGCGGGTTGAAAGTTCCAGATATACTAGAAACTATAAAATCTCTGAATTTCCTGAAATTTCAGCTTAATATGTATCTTGAAATTTCAACTTAGCATCTTGAAATGTCAACTTAGGATCTTGAAATGTCAACTTAGTATCTTGAAATTTCAACTTAGTATCATGAAATGTCCAGAAAAATAATAAAAACAGCATGGTCCTAAAAGGCTTCCGTAGTTCTAATCGTCCTGATCTTCATATGCAAATACGATGACGTACGTTTAGTGTTCAAAATGAATGTTTGTATTGTTTTATCCAACATGTGTCATAGAAGAGAGACCATAGATGGAATGTAGGCTTGCCATAGTATTGAGGCTTACGCATATGTTTTATTGTCAGGGTTTGTATGGGACACCTACTGATGGCTTCAATGATTGGTGTTCACTTTACTCCTAAATACTTGGTTTGCATGGCCCACACTCGACATCTTCCAACCAAGTAATTTGTGTCCAACCGACCACACATTGCCATTATGTACACACGTAGCACTTCCTTCTAAACCGAATTCAGAATTAATATTATTTTGTATACATGTATCCTATACTCTGAATCAGCACCAGTGATTGATGGAATGGGGCAATTGAGAGATACTAGGTTACAGGTTTAAATGATGTTTACAGATGTATTGACCATAATTTGAAATGACATAAATGTTGTGATGTTTTAAAACACACACCACCACCAACATTTCTACCTGTGGGGTGGGGTAGCCTAGTGGTTAAAGCGTTGGCTCGTCACGCCGAAGACCCGGGTTCGATCCCCCACATGGGCACAATGTGTGAAGCCCATTTCTGGTGTCCCCCGCCGTGATATTGCTGGAATATTGCTAAAAGCGGCGTAAAACTAAACTCAGTCAGTCAGTCTACCTATAGACGGCGTAAAACAATACTCTTTCACATGCTCGTGCATTTAGAAACGCGTCATGAGTTAGGAACCTAATTCTTGGCCAGCACTGAGTCTCTCCTACAGATTCAGCGTGGGGATACCCTATGATCTTGTGTTTTCAGGTGTTGTGACACCGCAGAGCTGAAGTAACTGTAATAAGGTTGAAACTGTACATCCATCTGACTCAACCGACGTGACCCCTCTTCTGTGGCTGGTTTTCAGCCGTTTGAATCAACGTGAAATGCCTATACATGTATTTTGAATTTATTATTTTTAAACTATGATATATCCACCCTGCTGACGCTCTGCTGTCCCTCCCCAGGGTCCCCCGTGAGGGTGATCGACCGCACCGCTGACGAGCTCAAGTGTGGCATCTGTCAACACCTCACACAGGATCTGCACAATGTCCTGTCGAAAGAAGACACACAGGTGGGTACTCGTGTGCGTGTGCGTGTGCGTGTGCGTGTGCGTGTGCATGTCAGTGTACGCGTGAGCGAGTATGTATGTGTGCGTTTGAGGCAGGGTAAGTGAGTTGGATTTTACGCCGCATTTAGCAATATTCCAGCAATATCAATGCGGAGGACACCTTAATGGACTTCACACATTTGTCTTCGCTGTGACGATCGAACACTTAAATCATAAACTTCAGGCTGATAATACGTTAAGTTACAAATGAAGTATTTGTCTCAGAATAACGTTCTCTTAATATAAATACAGAGGAAGAATCTGTGTTCCTGAATGATGACACAACACAACCAAATGTTTCTAAATGTTAACATATCTTGTATTGACGTTATAACTAGTATAGATGTCCCCAGATATGGTAATACTGGAATGTTGCTAAAAGCAGCATAAAGCCACACTCACTCACTCACTCAAACACTTGGGTAGAAATAGCAAACATCAAATAAAATTGTAATCATCCCTTTTGTTCTCTTTTAAAATGCCGAGATCATGTGGTCATGCTCTCTGACTTGATTGACACATGTCATCGTGTCCCAATTGCTCATGCTGTTGATCACTGGATTGCCTGCTCCAGACTCGATTATTTACAGACCATCCCCATATAGCTGGAATATTGCTGAGTGCGGCGTTGGACAACAAACAAACCATCTATAATTTTGAAATGATAAGACAGACGCCATGTAACATCAAACAGTACATTCTCACACACTCTCTCTCACACACTCTCACACTCTCACACACACACACACACACACACACACACACACACACACACACACACACACACACACACACACACACACACACACACACACACACAAAAGTAACCACTCTGAATACCCACCCAAATCTCTCACCCTTCTTAAAGAACAAACCAACAACATCTCTGTGTCCCCACTTAACTATAGATATAAGTCATCTGTCTTCTGCTACCTTTTTTGATAGGTGCACTCAATACATGTAATATACTTCATGTTAACCGTCGATACCCGGGTTAGAATGTACCTGTAAGTTGATGTACGTCATCGTCTCCCATTTGCAAAATCGAAGGTCAGTATGACAATGACCGGATTAACTTGCCGAGACAAACCGCCGTCAAATAACTGAAAAGTTAAACCCATGCCCATCAACTCTTGGAACTTAATTATCAGCAGGATCTCCTTGATTACCATCTACTTCTGGCAGCACATGTTATGTTTTGGGTTACTATCAAATTCCATTTTGTTGAAGAGGACGTTTCTTTTTTAATGATAATTTCTTTATTGCAATTGCGACGTTTCGATGTAGATGCTAACATCGTTATTAAGCAAATCATCGCTTGAAAATGTCATCTTTTACACTAAAGACGTTCCATAAACTTGTTCCTCTTCATAATACCAGCTCCTAAATGCCACTTAAAGAAGTCCATTCTGTAGGTTATCTCAATATCTGGGAGTTTGGGAAATGTCATATCGTGCTTGTCTTGCACTGAGCAGAGTTTACGATCAACCACAATATATTTGTTACAGAATTTTTGGGAATGTCAAACGTGGGCGTGACCCAAGTGTGAATGAGTTTAGTTTTACGCCGCACTCAGCAATATTTCAGCTATATGGCAGCGGTCTGTAAACAATCGAGTGTCGACCAGACAATCCAGTGATCAACAGCATGAGCATCGATCTACACAATTGGGATACGATGACATGTGTCAACGCAATCAGCGAGCCTGACCACCCGATCCCGTCAGTCCCCTCTTACGACAAGCATGGGTTACGGAAGATCAATTCAAACCCGGATCTTCACGGGTCCGGGCGTGACCCAGAAAATATCAATCGTATGCCTAAGTCCACAGCGATAATTCAGTGATTGTATACATGAAACGCTTATCAGGTTGTGCTGGTGAGACGCGTACACCGGTATCAAGGTAGGAGGGCACCCATGGGCACTCAAGAGGTTAGGGTATAACGCGACGTAGCACTAGAGGCCGTGTTATCAACTGCGGCGATTGGTGACAGCTGGGTCCAGGTGATATCAGCTGGTCAACCATCTATCGGCTGATAACGATAAGATGACATTTGTGACTGCCGAGATAATGGGTTGAAGCCGGGAAAAGCGGTGATATTGCGGCGTAAATCAATATAGGATAAATGACATTTCATTGACAATTTAATTTTGAAACAGTTCATTATCTATAATCGCAAATGTGGAACCATACTAAATATAAACATACAGAATATTTTTATCATTTTCACAAGACATACAAATAAAAATCTTTGAGAGCTGGTGTTAAAATCTTATTTTACCGAAACCCATTTCAATAATGCATAACCTTACATTACATACAAGACCTATATTTGATAATAATACACCTGACTGACAGTATCATATGTATAATCTTGAATGATGAATTCACGTATGTTGATATACGCATGTGTACGCCATGCAATGATTTTAAGGGCCCTTCATTTTCACAACGAAACAACTTACAATACATGGAACATATCCAAGTGAATTTATCAACCTAAGGTCTTACCCGACAGAATTTCACAATCTGTCAGAATAATCGTATATGTATGTTTGTTCCATACAAGTCTGACATATGTTTTCAGAATATGGTTCTATCAATCTGTTATTTAGAGGGGCACTGATCCCCAGCAATTCCCCGGGACTGGTTGTTGTATTTGCTTTAGTTTTTTGTTATTGTTACACGTGTCAACCCAGTCAGCGAGCCTGACCACCCGATCCCGTTAGTCGCCTCTTACGACAAGCATGGGTAACTTAAGATCAATATTCTAACCTGGATCTTCACGGGTCCTAGGTTAACATCTATATGTCTTGCATCAATCCGGACATGACTTCCACAATCACTTCCACATTAACATCTCACGCCGAGTCTGAAATACTGTTTAAAGCGGCGTAAAATAGAATGCGATCAGTCACTGTTACTATATATTATATTTCTACATATTTCGCTTTAGCAGTTATTTGTGACATGTTTGTATTGAAAGTTAACTGTATATTTCAGACCAAGGTGGTGAGCGGCCTGATGTCTCGCTGCGAGGGTTTGGTCGAGGGGCAGAGCGAGAAATGTCGAGACATCGTTCACGGCGTCGCTCCCAGCATGTTGTCCCTCCTCGCCGACAACGTCGTGAGTTCCACTTAACGCAAGTCAAATATTATAGATGGTGAACCGGTAGTTTGTATAACACAACCATCTTACAAATATAATATCCGGATAATATAATACAACACTTTATCAATTCTGATGTTCGCGTAACCACAGAAAGAGGAAAGCCATTATTATAAGTGCCCACAGTTCTTTCAGGAGCTCATGACAACACTTATCACATTAACCGTTAACATGGCAAATCAAATCTTAAATACAATAAGAAAATTGTACGTTGAAGGAAATGACATAGTAAGGATTTGTGCATACGATGACTCCTCGTAATGTCAGTCCCCATTAATCAGGAAACCCTGCTTATCGAGCGATTATCTTCAGTTACCGATACTGCAGTAATGTTATTCTCAAGACATTGCTCGGTAAAAGTGATTTCGGTTTTAAGCGCCGCAGTCTTGATTTATGGGATGTAGTAGATGATTTGGCTGTCTCTTCCCCAGCATCCGTACGTCATGTGCAGCACCCTGGAGATGTGCCCCGTCGAACACGTGGAACACGAGGAAAGGGAGGTGGAACAAGTGGACAGAGTATGTTATTTTCATTTACACATCGCATTTGGTTGCCGCCATATTATGTGTTATTGTAAGTATTTTGAAACGCGCTCTAGTCAGCTGAGAATCAGTCGTATATGAAGACGTATGTACATGCTGCTGTTACAGACAACGGTGTGCGAGTTCTGCCAGTTCGCCATCAACATCGTGGAGAAATACCTCGAGAAGAACGCATCCCTTCCCAAGATCAACGAAACGCTCTACGGCTTCTGCAACAGTCTCCCTGACCCTCTCAAGTCAGAGGTAATACACCTTGGAAACTACTGCTGTAACTGATCGGTCGCCTATGCTCATAACGGTTTTAGGAACATACAGAAAGATGCATCGCACTGCTCTTCTTTGTTTGTTTATGAAACAAGCGTTTTGTGATTTGTGATCTGTCTTTCTCAGACGAAAATGCCAAACTGCTAAAAGTTGTGGGATATTTTTGTACGAACGTCACCAAAACCTCAAAATGAAACATATTATGGAAAACAGGTGTTTTAATATTGGGGGCGGTGGGGTAGCCTAATGGTTAAAGCGTTGGCTCGTCACGCCGAAGACCCGGGTTCGAATCCCCACATGGGTACAATGTGTGAAGCCCATTTCTGGTGTCCCCGGCCGTGATGTTGCTGGAATATTGCTACAAGCGGCGTAAAACCAAACTCAGTCAGTCAGTTTAATACTGATACTAATTAATAACAGTTACAAATATTGCGCCACCATGCTGGTTGGTTGTAAGCTATCATAAGGTTTATCAAGAAACTTATATGCATTTGCAACACTATGTTAAATGTGTTGGTGCCATGGTGACCTGATCGGCGGTTAGTGTTTTCTGGCTGACAATCTGGTTGTCTTGTTGCAGTGCCTCAAGTTCGCTCCAGCTGTCGTGAAAGCCTTGGCAGATGGTGTTGACCCCCACCAAGCCTGTGTTAAGGCCAAAGTCTGCCCCAGTAAGTCAGGAGTTGTCATAGCGTTCCTGTACAGTGTGCAAAATAGCCACTGGCCCGCTAGCCCGTGACTAGTAAAAATCCAGTCGGGCCACTAAATTTCCACAGTCACTGGCCCGACTGGCTTGTGAATTATCATGGGGTCATTTTGTAAATATATCAGTCTCCGACTTGTTAAGCTATAATACACTTCTATATCATGCAAGATTATGGTCTGATAAAATGTTCATCATATTAGCAGCTTAATGATGAAACCAGTGTCTACATTCAAATTTCGGGCAATGAATTATTTTGTAGGGTAGTAACTTTCAGGCATAGCTAGCCCAACTGGCAAGCAACATTTGGAAACTATTTCGCACACTGTTCCTGTACACTCCTCTATGTGGCATATATATAGTGAAGGAAACAAAGAAGGGAACAAAACTTCATCACAGCGTTCCTGAATATTTTCTTACATTTTCACCCTAAGTACAAAACAGAGCTTGCGAAGATACCTTGGAAAAGAAATAAAGGAACATTTGAACTTACAAGCGTTCCTGTATTTGTTTCCTTCGACATATGAAGTAAACATGCTTCAGTTATGGTGTAAAGACAGGGAGTCGATATCTTGATAAACAACAACACTTTTACCCCTTGATTACCCAGTCCATTGTCTCAGTCGCATATCCAACAGCAGCAGATAAATAGGGATGTATGTTGCAAATACAGATAAAGATTATAACTGCAGGAAGGGGATAGTGTCGAAACAGTGAGTTAGGTTGTGACTGATCTGACTCATATCAGCTCTTGTGAGTGGGCAATTGGTTGGGTGCGTGAGAGGGTGGTTGAGTGAGTGAGTGAGGGTCAACGCCGAGGTAGTGTCTGCTGTTCTATCTTCTTCTGCATCTGTTCTTCTGCCGTTTAGGTAACAATAATCATTACGGAAGCCCGAAAATAATTTGTAGAGTGCTCTCTATTGAGGTTCCGTGGGGCATCTGTAGTGTTGAGAGTTAGATTAATGTTTTTCTGTTTGTAGGTGAAACCCTGGAACATCCTCTTCCCTGGAACGCCGTCTCCTGCGATGTATGTAATAGAGTGACGGAGACCATGTTCCACGAAGTGAGTTTTACAAATATATTATAGATATTCCTAGAGTCCTAGATCTGATAGTGCTTGTTTACTAAGATTCATTCTTACGTGGAAGAACAACTCTACGTAACTTCTTCCAATCGCGTAGATCGATGTTTATGATGTTGGTCACTGGATTGTCTGGGCCAGACTAGATTATTACAGATCGTCTCTATATAGCTGGAATATTGCTTTATTCGTGGGGCGTTTAACAACGAACTATGTAAGTTCGACAAGGGGATAAGGTAAAATTGGTCAAATGTTTTTTAACGCCGCACTCAGCAATGATCCAGCTATTTGACGTCAATCTGTAAATAACTGAGTATGGACCAGACAAACAAGTGATCGTTATCATGAACATTTATAAGATGACATGCATCAACAAAGTGAGTGACTATGGTTTTACGCCGATTTTAGCAATATTCAAGCAATATCACTGCGGAGGACACCAAAAATGGATCGATGATGTCAACATTCGCCTCTAAAGGCAAGCATGGGTTGTTTACAACCATTTGTAAGCCGGATCTTCACGGGCCCTCCAACGGTCACAAATTTACACTCATATAATATTATACAACCAAACACTCAGGATCATTATTCAGCCTCTATTACGAAATGTATATGTATGTTGTGTTTCTGTTTGTCTGGTCAGGATGCCGGTGCGGTATGTATGGATCTGAAGATCTGTCTCCGTCCAACGCTTCCAGCAGTAAGACAAGAGGTTCACCCGGAACCCCAGCAGGAGGTCGGCGCTGTTAGTAGAACCGATGTGTTGCTTTACGTTAGAATAGAGCCCTGTTGTTGTCAGAGTGAGTTAGTTGGATGTGAAAATACATCTTGATGTTGGATGATAGCGGAAAACAGGCCTAGTACTGACAAACCTAGACACCTTATCCGGGAGGAACTGGATTCAGACCCACGATCACAGGTTTCTGGACTCTGATCCACAAAGCGTTCGTAGCGCTACGTCATTCGTAAGCCTATGGTAAACAATAGAGTTACGATAGGTCGTAACGTTACGAAAGCTTTGTGGATCGGGACTCTGACTTACTTAAGGGTCGTAACTCTGCACAGCGATTTGAGTGTTATGGTTAAAGGTACAGCCTCGTTGTCGCGAGAACTGACTGCAATACGATCATGGGTTTCACGGGCGGATATAACTTTCTGAGAAAGAAAGGTGTGTGTGTGTGTGTGTGTGTGTGTGTGTGCGTGCGCGCGCACACACAGTTCACTTTCACCCGTTTTCCCGAGAAGGATGTGTTGCATAACTATTGCTAGCTGACAAACCCACTCCGCAAGAAATAGTCCTCTTTCATCTGAAAACGTAACAAAAACACTACCAAATCCAGCCAAAATAAAACGGATTTCAAAAGCGAAAAAAACATCACAATTTGGGAAATACAGTCGGGAATCAGTACAGAGGTATATACTAGTATGTATGTATTGACAATCCCCAGGGACCAGGATGTGACTTGTGCGAGTTCCTCATCAACACCATCGACCAGTACCTGCAACAAAACAAGTCTGAGGCGGCCATCAATGCCACAATCACCAAATTCTGTAACGAACTGCCAGAACCAATCAAGGACACCGTGAGTACCCTGTAGTGAAATGAAACATTCTTTATACAATTGTTTCTGTTTGCTTTGGATGATATATTGATATATATTCCATGCTTGAATGGGTGTGTTAATTGCGTTACGCCGCTTTGTACAGTATCCCCGTCATATCAGTGCCTGTCTCCTGCAAGAACCACTCAAGGAAACCCTAAGAACTTTACACACGTAACCTTATCATCATCTGAGATCAGATTCATCAAAAGGTTACACTTTTGTCAATTCCAGTAGCAACATGTTTTAAAAGAAACATCGGGAGGTCATTACTTTGTTGACAACTTAAGAAATCCACATTCTTTTCATTTCAGTGCAACGGTTTTGCTCCCCAGCTTGTGAAACTTCTATCCCAAGGAGTCGATCCCGAGCAGGCGTGCACCAAAATAGGACTGTGTACGTCTAAGATTTGCAACTTTGTTCAAATAATCCACACTAACATTCGCCAGGCGAATATTTTAAGAATACCTTATGCCATTTTAGAAGAGATGACATTCCGATGCATTTAAGATGTCGAGTTCAAATTAGATATACAGTTTATTTTTCGTAGGTATTAAATTTAATTTTGTTTTAACTTCTTTGAGTGGCATTTTCAAGTTGGTAAGTACAACAATGACAATCTTTATGGACGACAAGTTCTCTGGAAGCCAGAGATGTACAAATGAAGGGGGTGGTTTAAAAAGGAGGAGATTTTTATTCAGTTGGGATATAGAGTTGATTGCTGTGTTATTGTAGGTGCGACTCGTCATGAACCAGAGCTGGAGCCTCAGAGGGAGGAGGTAGATGAACCTGAACAGGAGCCTCAGAGGGAGGAGGTAGATGAACCTGAGCTCGAGCCTCAGAGGGAGGAGGTAGATGAACCTGAACAGGAGCCGGAGGAGGAGGAACAGGGGATTGTGGAAGATGTACGTATACACTAGGAAGTAGAGTACGGCCACTTACCCATACCGATATGAAATCATTTATATCCTCAATGCTAACAGAACGACTACAGATGGGCCTGGCTGACACAGTCTGGTATCTTATCTTATAGCTTCCCTTAGCCAAAACATAAAGTCAGATTCAACATTAGGTTAATCCGAGCGGAACTGTGGGTCAGATTGTTGGCAGAGGGGCCGTAACTGGCTGTGTGTCTGCTGGGACAAAATTCACCAGCTTCTGCAAGACTATGTTAATGTGGAACCTTCCAAGGATAAACAAGTCTAGCTGGACACTGTATACCATGAACCTGTTTTCATGCTTTTAAGTTAATACCATGACTATATGTGTATAAATGTACGTTCTTTGGTACAGTGAACCTATTCTTTATTTAAGGGACCTGGATGTGAGCTGTGCGAGTTCCTCATCAATACCATCGACCAGTACCTGAAGGAGAACAAGACAGAGGCGGCCATCAATGCTACAGTCACCAACTTCTGTAACGAGCTGCCAGAACCACTCAAGGACACCGTAAATAACCTTACATATATTATTCAAATTCCATGGACTGTACGACATTACACATAAGATCTAGCAATGAGCTGCCGGAAGATATAACTTGCTTGCATTTTCTTTTATAGCCCCGTGGGGATTCTGGTTTATCACAGGTCCCAAGCAGGCTAGGGTTGTCGTGAGTCAGATGAATCTGATTGTTAGGAGTACTGATTTGGTTGAGGATGTATGAATCGTTCTTTTAATCAACATCAAGATGTGGATTGTCTGATCCAGTCCCGAATTGTTACACGGCTGCATATGGCGTTACCCTAAAAACAAAATAACTATCAGTATAGCAATGAAACGTATGGTAACAGAGGTATTTTCCCTGTGGTTTAGTTATATGATCTCACGACCATTTTACTCAAGATCTACATTTGTGTTTTACGGTGAGGAGACATCACCCAGACTATTTCTTTATGTAGCAGTAATCTCTTGACTCTACCTGTGATACTGACCTCAAAGTTTCCCTATGAAGTACAGACATGATAATTCTATGTGTGTTTCAGTGCACTGGCTTCGCCCCTCAGTTGATCAAGATTCTGGCCGAAGGAGTCGACCCCAAGCAAGCCTGCACCAAGATCGGACTGTGCTCAAGTAAGGACAGGTGCTTCAGAGAAAAAACACACGCTATAAACAGTAGTATAAATGTGACATTTGAGAGAACTACAAAAGTATTTACCAATGACAATCTACATTGCATAACCGTAAGACATTTCTGCTGAAAGAAGCGTTACCTGTAAGATTTCGGTTGATTGTTGAGCACGTGTTTATGAAGCACTATCAAACACCAGGTGTTCGCGAAAAGGTGGGTGTATCCTGCCTCGCCGGGTGACACGAAAACACGCACATGTAAGGGCACGTGAATAAAGAAACATATGGTACAAGTCTAAATATGGGCGCCGACATTGGATATTTGTGTGGTGGTGTTACCGTTAGTGTACAAGGCCCAACAAGGTCTTTGATTGTCATTTAGAAGTGATACACATAAGGAAGAAAGTCTTTATGTATGTGACCGCCTCCGTGATGTAGTGGTTAGAGCGTCCTCCCGGAGAGCGGAAGGTCGCGGGTTCGATCCCCGACCGCGTCATACCAAAAGACGTTAAAATATGGTACTTGTTGGTCCCTTCCTGGCGCTCGGCATTAATGGGTACAACAAGGACTGGTCGGCTCGGAGTCAGTATAATGTGTCTGAGTGGGGTATCCATGCTTCACTGCGGCATGATATCTCAGTTGGCTAGCACTATAAAACCAGCTTAAGTCTGGGCTAGTACAAGCAGCCGCACATACACACACACACACACACACACACACGCGCGCATGCACGTCGTCATATGAGCGAAATATTCTCAAGCACGACGTTAAATCCAATTTCACCTCACATCTTTATGTATGTCAACTTCTTTATTATGAGGAACACAACGTTTCGGAGTATATAACATTGTGTTCCTCATAATATAGAAGTTGACTTCCATCAAAAACTCTCTTCATTAAGGTCCATTAATACCTACAGTAAGGACGACAGTGTTTACTATGAGAAGAACTGGTATGAAATCACATCTGAGGTAAATCTTCGTTTTTCTAGGCTCACAGGAAGAACATATCGAGGAACATGTAGAACACGAAGAACAGCACGAAGAACAACACGTTGCTGCTGTGAGTACCAGATATATGAGAATGTCGATCCCTAGATGTTTCCATATATATCATGTTTATACCAAGTTGTAATAGGAAATGCCGCCTATCCAGTGGTACGATTCACTTCTGTTTTGTCATGTTAGTTTCGATGTCTTATATAATGGGTAGCGTCATTGTTTTACCAAAAGGGACCTGGGTGTGAGCTGTGCACGTTCCTGATCAACACCATCGACCAGTACCTGAAGGAGAACAAGACAGAGGCGGCCATCAATGCCACAGTCACCAACTTCTGTAACGAGCTGCCAGAACCACTGAAGGATACTGTGAGTCTTTGTTGTTCCATTATGTTGTTCTTTTTCTTATCTCTAATCTAATGTTATTGTTTACCCAGCCCAGATACCAATATACATTAAACACGAAGCATTGTACTGTTAAGTGCGGCCATCAGTGCCACAGTCACCAAATTCTGTAACGAGCTGCCAGAACCTCTCAAGGACACCGTGAGTCTTTGTTATTCTGTTCTGTCATTCGTCTTCCAAATTTATAACCTAATTTTAATGTGTACTGTTAGGCCAACACCAGGTATGATATACATTAAAGATAAATCACTGTACAGTTCGGTAAGATGTTAACACACATATTTTTTTCAGTGTTAAGATATAATCACTTCCCATGGACACAATAATCCCTTGTGTCTTTCAGTGCACTGGCTTCGCCCCTCAGCTGATCGCTATCCTGGCTAAAGGAGTCGACCCCCAGCAAGCCTGCTCCATGATTGGACTGTGCTCAAGTAAGGACATGTGCTTCAGAGATAAAATACAAAGATTGAACAGGTGCTTTAGAGAATAGAGCACACCATGAACAGTGATACATGTCCTTTAGAGAAAATCTTATAGGCTTGACATGTGCTCTAAACGAAAATGTATACCTCTGAACACTGAGATAGGCGTGATCTTTTCGAAAACTATAGTAGTATTTATAAACGACTTTAGCGATGACCATTGACGTCACGATACGACAAGTGTAGTGTAAATACTAGGTTTCAAAGAGGATATACATGATAGAATAACCTTGATTGTCTGCTAAAACTGATTTCAAGGGAAGTGAAAGGGGGATTCGTTTAAGAAAGGTCTGAGCTAAATGATACGAAATCACATCTGAGGTAAATGCTGGTGTTCCACAGGCACACAGGAAGAACACGTCGAGGAACATGAAGAACATCATGAAGAGCAACACGTAGCTGCTGTGAGTAACAGATATAAAAATGTGGATGATCGATGATCGATACAATGGATAGCGTTCTTGGCAGGATAAAGCCAGAAGATATTTTCGGTATCCGTAGGGGTCATAATATCCTGAGTAGGAATAAACACTATGTATTTAACTCGCCAAGGAACGCTAAATACAATGTTTATTCCTAATGCAGAATATGAACCATCCCAAAAAATACTCGCGTGATAAACTATACTGAAGCAAAGATAGAAATGTACATCTGCAGCATCACATGCCAAGTCAAGCTGCTTTTTCTTTCTGTTTTATTTTTTTCGTGCCAATGTCTTCACAGCGGTTAGATTCACAATCACTGATGTTTTACCATCAGGGACCCGGATGTGAGCTGTGCGAGTTCCTCATCAACACCATCGACCAGTACCTGAAGGAGAACAGGACAGAGGCGGCCATCAATGCCACCGTCACCAAATTCTGTAACGAGCTGCCAGAACCACTCAAGGATACAGTGAGTGTTTGTAATTCGGTTCTGTTATTCTTGTCTCACCTCTAAGCTATTGTTATTGTTTACCACAACAACATATACTCATATTCATTAAGCAGGAAACAATGTTCAGTTTAGTTTGTTACTAATCTCACATGTTCTAGTGTAGAGATAGTCTATTGAATCTACCTCTGATATGGACTTCAAATGCCCTTTGAAGTACAGACACAATATTTCCATGTGTGTTTCAGTGCACTGGCTTCGCCCCTCAGTTGATCAAGATTCTGGCTGAAGGAGTGGACCCTAAGCAAGCCTGCACCAAAATCGGACTGTGCTCAAGTAAGGACATGTGCTTCAAAGAAAAAAATATAAACGTTATTGCTTCCAAACTAAATTTTATTCGAATGTATTGAAATGATACACGTAATTAATGAAGATTACCATCCAAACAACTGCATTTTGTACGCATAAGTGTATTTTATTGCTTATTCCGTCACAACGCATGAAATGACCCTCATGGTGACTTCGCACAAAAAAACACATGCAAATCATGAAAATGGCAGTTAATGTAGGGGTGTATAAAAGCCCATGTGCTTCCGTATTATATTCATTCATTTGTCGCCGAAAAGCTGTGTTAAAATGCCACGATTGAGTGCTGCCAGACCGAAATATCGCCATTTGTCGTGTTCAAGCCGGAGAAAGTTTTGGAACTGTTGCACGGCACCTAAATGTTCACAAAACAACGATATCCCGACTTTGGAGCCGCTACAACAACTTCAATTTGACCAACGATCGCCCGAGAGGTGGAAGGCCAAGAATCACGACCCCCTTCAAGATCGGTACATCCGGGTCCATCACCTGCGTAATCGGCATGCCCTACCAACCGTGACTGCCACACAAATACCAGGTTTGAGGAGAGTGTCAGCTCAAACGATTAGGAACCGTCTGAAAGAAGCGGGTTTACGTGCCTGTAGACCAGTTGTTGGACCTGTACTACGCCCCTACATCGACGCCGACGACTCAGGTGGTGCAACAACGTAAGGATACGGACTTTACAAAACTGGAGGCGAATCTGGTTTTCTGATGAATCACGTTTTCTTTAGCAACGTCACGACGGAAGACAGCGTCTGTATAGGAGACGTCATAACGTTTTGCGCCCATCTGCGTCCGACAGGTGGACAGATTTGGCGGAGAAAGCGTCATGGTTTGGGGAACCATCTCATACAACCAGAAATCAGACTTGGTGATCGTTCCAGGAACTCCTGACAGCCCAACGTTACATCAACCACGTGTTAGAGCTTCACCTTCTCCCGATTATTGACCAACAGACACAGATTTTTCAACGGGACAACGCCCGGCCTCATACTGCACGTGCAACAATGAACTTTCTGCAGAATTCCAACGTCAATGTCTTGCCATGACCCTCTAAATCACCAGACCCCAACCCTATTGAACACCTGTGGGATACTCTGGATCGACGCGTACGTCAACGTCAGCCGCCGCCACAGACGCTGCAACAGCTCGCCGTTGCACTGCAGGAGGAGTGGAGAGCCATTCCCCAGGAAAGAATCCGGCGTCTTATCCGTTCTTGTCCAAGGAGATGCCGTGCAGTGATTGCAGCGCGTGGTGCCTCATACGAGATACTGAGAAAGACGCCCCCTGGTGACAAACTGGTGTCTGTGAGATGACTTTTGAAATGACAATTTTAAACATGCCCATCTGGGTTATTATTCTGCCAAATTTCAGACTTCTGTCTTAAATAATAAAAATGCCGTGTCGTCCTAAAACTTCAGATCAAAATCTCCTAAAATACAGGGGGTTGCGTTTCTTTTTTGACAGAGTTTATCATTATAATGTGGTGAATTTTATGAAGAAAAGTTAATGTAACTGCATAACCCAAAGCACTACTGCTGCTACCGATAGTTACATACGTGTGTTGGGCTACGATATCTGTTTGAAATACAATATTGGTTTCAGAGAAACTATAAACACGCCAACGCCACAGACTAGCCAGGCTCTAGTATCTCCAAAACAGAATATAATGGGCGTAAAACAGGATATTGATACGAAATTACATCTGAGGTAAATGCTCGTTTTCACAGGTTCACAGGAACACGTAGAGGAACACGTAGAGGAACACGTAGAGCATCATGAGGAACAACACGTTGCTGCAGTGAGTAACAAATATACTGGACAAAATAAGTTAGGGATATTGGTATTTTTATGATTGATATTTTATCAGTGTGTCAATGAATGAATAGATAATTCTTCATAATTTCAAAACTATTTTTGCCCAGTATATATGACAGTCTAGATGATTGCACCATATCTTTACTATATGCGAAGATGTAATATATACAGCTGTCTATCTATAGTACAATTCACCACATTCTCGTTGTGAACAAATTGGTAGCTTTCTCCCTCGTCCTCCTGTTTTGCCTTGTTGGTGCCAATGTCCTATATCATACGTAGTGTTGCTATATTACCATAAGGGACCTGGATGTGAGCTGTGCGAGTTCCTCATCAACACCATCGACGAGTACCTGAAACAGAACAAGTCTGAAGCTGCTATTAATGCCACAATCACCAAATTCTGTAACGAACTGCCCGAACCCCTCAAGGACACCGTGAGTAGCCTGAAGTGAAATGAAACATTCTTTATACAATAGGTACCAGTTATCACACAGGGTTCTGTTTTGATTACACAATGCCATTTAGAAAGTGGTCAAATGCAACATATGTTATATTTTTGATTACACTTTCTTAGTAAAATTACAAAATTCTAGTACTTTTTGAGTTGGAGCCCCATCCGGGATCAAGAACTCCCTCAGAGTCAGGCACCTAATCGCCAGCACACAAAGTCAGCCGCCTAACCCACTCAGCTACCGCGACTTCCACTCAGGGAGTGGGTTAGGCGGCTGACTTTGTGTGCTGGCGATTAGGTGCCTGACTCTGAGGGTGTGAGTTCGAATCCCGGATGGGGCTCAACTCAAAAAGTACTAGGAATTTGTACTTTTACTAAGAAAGTGTAATCCCAAATATAACATATGCTGCAGGGTTCTGTTTGTTTTGTATGGTATTTATTCCATGATCGAATTGGTGAGTGAACCAGAGAAATGCAGGTCTCAGACGTTCACAACTTCCCGAGGCAAGGGCGACAACTAACTACAAAACTAGCCTAGAATATCCTAGCTCAATCGTAGCCTCATCAGGGGCTTTAATGAGTTGTGTCCCTTGTAGCGCCCTCCAATTGACCAATCAGATTCCATCTTCCATATCCCTTGCATTTGTCTCAAATAAAATGAAGATCTTTTTTGTCTTACATTACGAATTGCATCAAGCCATTTGAGAACCTTGATTAAAAACCTGAACAGATTTGGAAAAGATCTGTTGACGCCCATGCTCTGTTAATTCTGCAATGCACTGAAATGTTTACAGCATTTGCCATGTTGAGCACCGGATTTCGATTTCCATACGAGATTATATTTGCACTATGCATAGATTCGTTCAAATGTGGAAACTAGAGTTTTACAATCCAATCCCTCGGGTGATTGGTGATGACAAGCACAGAAACATGAGCGGGACGAATCGAGAGTCGAACTCTCTTAAAAAGTTTCAGGCATGCGCAAGGGACGCATCTCTGCATAGGCAGTTACACCACCGGGCCATCCGACCCCTCATGTCCGACTGCCTTCATTGTAGCACTGATATGTATCAACGATTTCTTAAAGATATACATGCAACGTGCAGTAAGTTCAGTGTGATGTCAATGCTGTTGAACAATGGCACGACACAGGACGAACACTTGCAGACATTGTACCTTGTTAAACTGGTGACCCGGATGCACACTTTGACTGCTTTCATGTCTTTCAGTGCAACGGCTTTGCTCCTGAACTTGTGAAGATTTTAGCCGACGGCGTGGATCCCAAGCAGGCCTGTGTGAAGATCGGACTGTGCGCATGTATGGGATTATAACACTTAATTATCATACAGATAATCTATGGTTGGCCGTGCCATTGTTTTTTTTATCAGTCACTTATAATAATAACTTTGGGTTAAAGAGAATTGTAACTTCGATTCTGCTTTGGTTAATGCAAACTTGTCAAGGGACAGCTTTACGACAGTCGGGGCGGTGGGGTAGCCTAGTGGTAAAAACGTGGTAAAGACCGGGTTCGATTCCCTACATAGGTACAGTGTTTGAAGCCCATTTCTGGTGTTCCCCGCTGTGATGTTGACGGAATATTGCTAAAAGCGGCGTAAACTCACTCACTCACTTTACGACAGTCACACGTGAAGATCCGGGTTAGAATTGGTCTTCAGCAACCCATGCTGTAAAACAAAAGACTTCCAAGGATAATTCAAAATAACGTGTTTCTAATTAAGACTCAGATGCGGCGTTAGTTAATGCAAATTGTCTGGGGACAGTTTTACGATAACATGTCCTTGGTGTGATATTCATTGTAGATAATAATTCCTTTGTTTTAGCATCATCCTTAGAAAGTATGAAGGAGAAGCCAACGACAGTGGACAGAGAAGAAGCGGTAGGACATTCAGCTCGCTAACAATAATATTGTACATTCGGCCAAGAAAGGGAATCTTTATCGGCAATCAACACAGTGTGCGAAATAGTTTCCAAATTTTGCCAGCAAGTCGGGCTAGCTATGCCTGAAAGTTACTACCCCCACAAAATAATTCACTACCCCTAAATCTGAATGTAGAAATTGAGCAAAAGATAACAAAAAGGAAATATACCATCATTTATCAGGCCATAATTTTGCATGATTTAAAAGTGTATTATAACTTAACAAGTCGGATAGAGTGATATGTTTAAAAAATGATCGAATGCCAGTCGGGCTAATGACTGTGGAGACTTACTGACCCGACTGGATTTTTACTAGCCACGGGCTAGCGGGCCAGTGGCTATTTCACACACTGAATCAGCATGTCACTTTAAGCCCAAGTGGTCACTCATTTCTATTGCCAATAACTTTTTTTTCGAATATTACCACGTTATACGACGCAGACCCTGCTGACCATTAAATAACACTCTTGACGGGAGAAAGTTGAACTACATAGCCAAGTTGAAAAAATATATCATCAAACAAAATAACTCATCAAATCATGCTAGTACTTTTGTAATATATCCCTTCTGAATGATAACACTTCGAGTTTTCTTTGGAACAGTTTCGTGTTTTTGACAAAGTCCTGGGTCCCTCTGACCTTGGAGAAAATGTGCTTTAACTTTATTGTATTGCAGCCTCCTATTAACACATGTCTTGCTATTTAAACAATATGATACAGAGATTACTAAACGAGTGTCTGTCAGATACCATTTATCTTACAACCAGTTGTTTAAAAATGTATTTAAGGAGCGAAAGCGTATTGTATTCTATTAATCATTTATTTAATCTGAAATAGTAATGGACGACTGGCACTTAATCATACATATTGTAACCACAATTCCTTTATGACACGTAATTGTTGTTGGTTGTTCCATATGCCCTTTGGGGTTCACTTCTATGTACAATGTCTAGTGTCTTTGTATTACCCGCCAGGGCCCCGGATGTGAGCTGTGCGAGTTCCTCATCAACACCATCGACCAGTACCTGAAGGAGAACAGGACAGAGGCGGCCATCAATGCCACCGTCACCAAATTCTGTAACGAGCTGCCAGAACCACTCAAGGACACTGTAAATAGACTTACATATATATTTTTCCAAACGTAGCAAATTCGCTAGACTATTCGATATTACATAAAACATACACCAAATTCTGTAACGTTCTACCAGTGTGCCTTAAAGACACTTCCCCGTCCTATGCTAGAATCTTTGAGATGTGGCATAATCGGACCAGTCGTCACTTTGATAGTGGAACGTTGCCTACCTGACACGTGTGTGGGTTGGAATCAATGAAAACCGTGCTCGTGGTTTCACCCGCATGTTCAATCCCAGTTAATCCCAGATGTTGCAGTTTCTCATACGACATCACCATATTACAGTGCACTGGCTTCGCCCCTCAACTGATCGCTATCCTGGCTGAGGGAGTCGACCCCAAACAAGCCTGTACCAAGATCGGACTGTGCTCAAGTATGTGCTGACTATCCTGTCATAATATGCTTCGAAACTTATCATTTGTTCAGATGCATGTTCGGAATTGTGTTTTTACTCGATAGATGTATAAAGTGTTGAATTAAAAACAAAAAAACAAAAATATTTAAAAAGTTGGAGATGTTATGTAAATGTCATATGAGATCACAGCCCATGCCATATGTTTAGATCTTAGTCGCGCTTTCACAAAAGTCATAAAGCACCTTTTAGAACACAATCTTATCTTTTTGTTTAGAACATATCCTCCTCTCGAACTATGGTTAAGTCGACAACTTGTCTTTGGCCCCGGACCTTCGTGTCAGGATGTTCCACTTATAAAACACTGACAATCCAGTTATATCTGTTAGTGTATCAGGGGAGATTTGGACTTGCGACTTTATGTAGATTGTACTGAACTGAACAACATCAGAAAACTTACACCCATGTAGATGGTGACTATAATAAAACAAATTTCAATTTCGACGGTGATGTAGTTGATACAGGTATCATCGTTTTGTTTTACACTTGCTGTGTTTCGGTGACTGTTTTCAACCTAGAAACGTTTTGTCAACGTTTGTAAAATCCAATGTTCAGGGGCATTCGTGACCAACTCGTGTTATTCCGGGACAAGCCGAATAGCGGTTACGGAAACGGGCGAGTGGTGATGAATGGAATGGTTCAGGGGAATACTTTCCTTTTCCAGTAGTTTACTTTTGCCACTATTACGAACGTTTGTTCTAAAAAAGATTTGTAGTCAAGTCTTTTGTTGACATTAATGTTTTATTAACCAAGAGTCAAATGCATTTTTGTCCCAGGTTATGACATTTCACCGCACAACGATAACGCTATGGCGGTGAGTCACAAGTCCTCTAAGCGCGACCAGTTCAACGTCGACATGATGATAACCAAATCAATTAAAATTGTAATATTGTTTATGCTAACCAGATCATTCACAACGTTTAAACCAGATAATTCAGATACTAAAGGAATAAGTTCTTTGTTTTTGCATCATTTTCGTTTGTTGCGATACTGTAAATATTCTTTACTCTTACTGACCAATATGCTACAAAATCATAAAAATATTTTGAAACACTTATTGACTGCTCGTCATTGACTGATAACTGGCGCTTCTGACTGAGATACGGTTACTGTTTCTAGGGCCCTGAATGTGAATTATGTGAACTTGTCGTGAAAACAGTAGACAAGTATATTACCCAGAATGCAACTGAAGCTGCTATCAACACAACTATTCTCAGGCTATGCCAGGGCTTGCCCGAACCTTTCAAAACTACCGTGAGTTACACACGTGTTTGTTTCTTGATTAACTCGCACTCAGAAATATTCCAGCTATGAGTTTAGTTTTACTCCGCTTTCTGCAATATTCAAGCAATATCACGGCGGGGGACAACAGAAATGTGCTTCACACACTGTACCCATGTGGGGAATCGAACGCGGGCCTTCGGCGACCACTATGCCACCCCACCGCCTAAATCGAGTTTGGACCAGACAATTCAGTGATTGATGAGTGCTGATCTGACAACCTGATTCATTTCGTCGCCCCTTACAATAAGCATAAGCGGCTGAGGCTCGACACTTACTGGGAGTTCCTTCAGGCGGCTAGTATCTGTATAGATGATTAACTGATAAATTAAGAATTACCATAATGATGTCTTATTTTTGCAAAGATTAAAATAAATGTTCACGTTTCAAATACCCAACATAACCATAGAGTGTAACATCCAAAGACATACATCTCCAAGATCTATTGAGCTTGTATTTGTTACAGAAAACGTTCAACAAACCAGTACCAACCTTTTCGCCACTCAAACCACCTTTACTTACAATCAGTCTCTGTTTCGATGTTGTAGTGTTTCCAGTTTGCCCCCGAGGTAGTGAAGGCTTTATCACAGGGAGTTGACCCGAACATGACCTGTACCAAGCTTAAATTATGTTCGGGTAAATACACAAAATGTTTGTAATTCAGATTTATAACCACCGAATTGCTTATAGCACAGAGCATCAACTTAAACTTGAAATATACTTCCGCACATGATCAAACTCGAAATACATTTAAGTAAGGAAGAAAACAACTGTAGAAGTCGACAGTTTCAAACAGAGAAGTGTAAATATGTTCATATGAAGATACAATGCTAACAGACCGTTATTTATACAGATTATGTGAATTTAAACATAAATATCTAGGTGTGTAGAAAAACCTTCAAATGGTGGACACACCACCAGTTCCTTCCCCAGATGTTGTCAAAAGGAATTCTAAATAACCTGTGAGTGAGTGAATATGGTTCTAAGACGCTTTGAACAATGTTCCAGGCGGGGGACACTAAAATAACTTGTACTCGCGTGTTGAACACTGTGATAGAAAGCATGTTGAAAATTATTTTTTAAAACAAAACCATTATTGATCTCATAAAGATCTCATGGTCGATGTTCAGTGACAGTCTTTGAACAAGAGGACGAGAAGCTTGTGGGCATGCCTCCAACATCCCGCAGGGACACCTGTAGCTTTACACATCGTCATACCGAGCGTTCATATTCATCATCCATTAAATAGCCTCTAACCTGGGACAGTGTCAGTATGACATCACAGGGGTTGTTAGATTATGTAGTTGTTCGATTATATTCGAGCTTTTGTCACGGTGACACCAATGTGCATTACGTGACGTGGCGGATACAGCTTTTTGAGAAAGGAGGTGCACAGTTCATTTTCACCCGTTTTCACCCGTTTCAATTGTCATTTAATTAACTTTCATGACTGAAAGGGTTAGTGAATGATGGGAGTACTGGCGAATGGGAGTTGGGAATTGATAGGGTTATCTCCCCTGATACACACATTCGATTACCTGTGCCAAGTGTATTTATCTGCTGTTATTGTTTTACGCAGTGTGCGTCAATACTCCACAAAGGAGTGGTAGGGTAGTCGGGTGGTTGAAGGTTTGGATTGTCAGACCCACCCTGGCTTCATTTCACAACTTCCTATCTCCGTGTCTAGTGCTGACACTGCCGAGTCCCAGTCTGAGAAATCTATGTGCGGAATTCCCCATAGTCTTGTCCGGATCACGTGCTCGGATCCTAAGTTCGCCAAGATTATGATCGTGAGCACTATGTCCCACGCATACGGAGTTCACGACTTTCCTCTGGCACTAAGCTGGCACACCCTGATGTTGCTAAAATGGGGTTTCGTTAAAGTCTCTGACTAATTGTAACAATCCGGTCATAATTCAAACACTCTAATCATAGTGGTCGTTTTTCTTCCACAGCGGAGAGTTTCGGCCACCAGGTTGAAGAAGCGTCCACGGAACCGGTATGTATTTTAACCAGTCTTTCTAATCACAACCTGATAAAAAATAAAAACAACTTTAATAGCGATAATATACGTTGCGACACCTACAAGCGTGAGGTGCGCGTTTATGATTACACGGTAAATCTTTCTAATAAAATACAATGACACCAGCAGCAACCTTCTCACGGGTGAACCAAAGTCATCTGCATGTTCTATCATTGCACTTCCGTTCTGTATATCCATATCTGTTGTCCAAGATCCGGGTTAGAATTTTGTCTTCAGCAACCCATGCTTGTCGTAAGAGACTGTTCCATTATGCCCATAGGTGTTACCCTAATTAACCTTCTAGTTCAGTGTCTGTCAATTGGGTGTCTGTCAATTGGGAGATAACCCATCTAACGGGATCAGGTCGCCACATTCACTGACTTGGTTAACACATGTCATCGTACTTTAGTTGCGTAGAACGACGCTCATGCTATTGATCACTGGACTCGATATTTCCAGACCTCCGCCATATAGCTAGAATATTGCCGTGTGCTGCGATAAACAACTGACAAACACACTAAACATCAACAAGGATAAAGCCGACATTTTGCTTTGATTCTGTTATTAAACCATTGGCCTCCGATTACCCAGTGGTTTAAGGGACATTCAATCATGACAAGGCCTGATGAGTGCGGGTTGTCATCCTAGATTTACCGAAGCAGCACCATGATACCAGTGCTAATGGGTATCCTCCAAGTCGCTTCATTTTTTCCTCCCACATCAAGGTGGAATGTAACTGAAATACTGTTATCGAGATGTTGTATCAAACTCACTCCCATCATTTCACTCACCCCCTTGTTCCAGGAGGGCCAGTTCACCTGTTATCTCTGCAAGCTGCTAGTGGAGACCCTTGACTCATACCTGAAGAACAACCACTCAGCGCCCGCCATTAACGCAACACTCCAAAAGATCTGTGCGTCCCTACCCACAGCCTTGCAGATTGAGGTACCAGAACCTTTCTCGCCTTAAGATTCCGACTTAGACTTGGTTAGGCGCGACTTAATGTATATATAATCGCATGGGACCAAATTTCCTTTTCGAGTCATCGTGTGTATTTATGAGACGAATTCGTGTAACCGGTATTCAAATGATGAACTATGACAGGGAATGGTCGGGACCGACAGGTACTTCGAGTTATGCGTAATATTCGAGAGACCGGCATTCGACTCATCGGGATTTGACTGTATTGTCATGGCCAGTAGTATTGTGGTTTACGTGTCATCGCACGCCGATGCTGCTCATAACTTCACCCATTGGTTCACCTGGCCCAGACTCGAATATATCCAGGAAGCCGAGAAATAGCGGCATTATGGCTGACTGCTGGAATTTTTGTGTTACATTTTCGAAAAGGGGTTATGATTGATTTCTATTCCTCGAAACGGAAAAATTATTTCCCTTTACTTTAAAAAAAGATCATTTATTGTGAAAACAATTCATTTTAGGTTAGTACGTCACGAATGCAAATTTTCGGTACTGGGCTGATATATTTCATGTTCCTGATAGCCTCATAGTGCTTTGTAGATTTCTATGATAATAAGCTATTCCAAATTTCTTCATTTCATTCCCAAATGCTTAGGCCATGCGTTTCTCTTGCACACTTCTAAACGACCGCCACTTCTTCTCAGTTAAATAGTAGATACCGCATTTCCTCTAATAAGCGCCGTGTCTCCAATAAGCGCCGGGCCGTAAGTGTCGGGTGTGCCACATGTTTACAATGGAGTTTTCAAATACAATACCAATGGAGAATCTATATTTATTTCCGTGGAAACTTTAAGCGCCGGGCCTCTAACAAGCGCCGGGTCTGGAAATCCGTTGAAAAAATAAGCGCCCGAACGCTTATTAGAGGAAATACGGTATATGACAAAAAGTGTACGTTGCTATTGATGTTGGCAGTGCAAGGTGCTGACTCCTCTACTGATCAAGGAACTCGTTAATGGTTTCAACGCTAGCAAGGCGTGCACCAACATCAAGGCCTGCCCCAAAAACACCGGTATGACATTCTATTAACGCTGGAAAGTCAAATAACAAACCTTCGCGATAGTCACAAGAAATTACTCTTAGAAACTGTCCACTGTGCGATTTCGTGTAATTCATAAGTATGTGATGTGAATCCTAATGAAATATGGATGACACCAGGTGTTCCAGTAAAGGTCATCATGCCCTGCCCCACCAGTGGCACCTTTCAAATATACATAGAGGCAAATGAGTTGCTGAACACCCGTGAACAATAGGTTTTCGTGCTTGTTTGTAAAAGGCAACTAACGGAGCGGGTCGCCAGGCTCGCTGACTTGGTTGGCACATGTCATCGAAATCCAATTGTGTAGATCGATGCTCATGATGTTGATCACTGGATTGTCTGGTCCAGACTCGATTATTTACAGACCTCCGTCATACAGCTGGAATATCGCTGAGTGTGGCGTTAAACAGCAACACTTGTTGAACAGAAAGACAGGGGAACATGTGTTACTATTTAAAATAGAGGAATGCACCTGTTGTAGACCTGGGTACCAGAAGGGGTAGCCTAGCGGTTAAAGCGTTTGCGTTAAAGCGTTCGCTCGTCACGCCGAAGGCCCGGGTTCGATTCCCCACCGATGGGTACAATGTGTGAAGCCCATTTCTGGTGTCCCCCGCCGTGATATTGCTGGAATATTGCTAAAAGCGGCGTAAACTCATTCACTCACTCTACCCTATTGGGAAAGCTTATTTCTCATACATTTATTTCAAATAGTTATCTTAAAGTTTTGATAATATGAATGGACGTCTTCAGTAATGCTACAGATGTCCAATCGTCCTGTTCCAGATGGGGCGGTAGGGTAGCCTAGTGGTTAAAGCCTTCACGCGAAGACCCGTGTTCGATTCCCCGCATGGGTACAATTATTGTATGTTTATGTGAATCCCATTTCTGTCGTAGCCGTGATATTGCTGAAATATTGCTAAATTCGGGGTAAATCTAAACTCACTCACTCACTACTGTTCCAGAAGAAATCCTGACCCGACTTGCCCGCAGCCTCACCCATGAAGTGAGCATGGTTGGTGATGTGAAGTGTTCCATCTGCAAGGACCTGATCGGCGTCATTGACTTAGACGTCAATGCTGACGAGGTCGGTATATACTGAGGTGTATGTACGTTGTATATATACTGTCTGGTAATATTATCTACCATATGGGGGATAGCGTTACCAATGCAATTAACCAATCGATAACCGTGGCGTGAAGATTGGATAAATGAGGTCACGTTGGGGGATCTAGACTCACGAAAGTCATTAAAACCTCACTTTGTACAACTTTGCACGAGGGGCGGTGGGGTAGCCTAATGGTTAAAGCGTTCGCTTGTCACGCTGAACACCCGGGTTCGATTCCCCACATGGGTACAATGTGTGAGGCCCATTGCTGGAATAGTGCTAAAAGCAGCGTATAACCATACTCACTCACTCACTCACTCGTCGCACAAAATTCCATCATGGGAGTCGGTAATCTGAGGATAAGGATGACTGTATACAGTCTAGACGTCATAGTATTGACCCTAAAAATAGACACATGAGCACACTGGGTTAGATACGTCAGAATTTATGCTGTCCGTAACAGGCGACCAACCAGATGGTGTGGTCACGCTACAGACTGACTTGGTTTATTCGGGCGGTGGGGTAGCCTAGTGGTTAAAGCGTTCGCTCGTCACGCCGAAGGCCCGGGTTCGATTCCCCACATGAGTACAATGTGTGAAGCCCATTTCTGGTGTCCCCGCCGTGATAGGCACCCCGTGATATTGCTGGAATATTGCTAAAAGCAGCGCAAAACTAAACTCACTCACTCACTTTGTGTATTGTGGGTCATCGATCTCCGATGGCGTGGCATGGCGTGGCATGGCGTGATTACCCTTCACTGGAATGTCTGGGCTACACTTGATTGAGTACAGGCCACTGTCATGTAGCTGGAATATGGCTTTAAACAACACACCGCACACTCACTCACTCACTCACGAGAAATGGATAAGTTTGATTGTTTGTTGTGTAATGCCGCACTCAGCAATATACCAGCTATATGACGGCGATCTGTACATAATCAGGTCTGGACTAGACAATGCAGCTGTTGACATCATAAGCATCAGACTTAATAATATACGAGCCCTTAACATAAATTTTCATACTGGTCTTAGATATTCCATGTATTTTCAGGCGAAGACCAAGAAGCAGTTTGAAGATGTCTGCCACCGTCTGCCCCCACCCACAGATCAGAAGGTAAGTGGGTCCTCTAGCCATCTGACGCTTACCTATATTACCTTGATGCCTTTACTGTTACAAATAAGAAAACCAGCTTTGGATTTAGTCTACAAAGAAAATGATACGGAAAGGGAAAGATTTTTTCCTCAATAATGATCCCTCCTTCATTTGTACATGTCGCCAAGGGGTGGTAAGTAGCCTTGTGTTCAAAACGTTCACTCCTCACGCCGAAGACCCGGGTTCGATTCCCCACATGGGTGCAAGGTGTGAAACCTATTTCTGGTGTCCCCTGTCGTGATATTTCCTGACTATTGCTAAAAGGCTCACAGATATTCGAGTCAGCGATGCTTAATTATAGAATTTCTCGCGGTTGTTTCTTCGTATAGAGCTATCTAGTGTTATATTTCATGTTGTGCCAGCTGATCTGTCGGAACAGTCATACAGTCAGACTTCACCCGCCTCTCTACAAATCAACCCACTTCACATTAGTGTTGGGAATTGGTTAAAATCTCATAATTGATGATCGGTTCATTACAACCAATCAATCATCGAAAATAATTGGTTTGCGCCATTTATCAAACTTTCCTGTTATGTTTGTTAATGGACAAACGTTTTGGGGAATTTTTTCAAATTATACAAAATACATTTGCAAATTTCACATCTATAAAGGATCAATAGTATGTTAGGAACATAAATTTCCTAGAGTCATTAAGATAAGTTCAATCATGACTTGGAACGGACTTTTAGTGTTTATGAATCGTAAATTTTATGACACAGATAAAACCAACCTTGTGAATATTATTGTTAATGCAAACATGTGTTCCAAAAAAGTTTGTGTTCGATTATGAGAAACACGATCGATTGCTTGATCGTTTAGTCACTGCGACCAATCTTCGATTATTTCAATTAATCGGACCACCACTAACTCACATAGCGTATTGTCCCCAAGTACTCCACAACTTAGTGGCATTCATGGTTCATGTAGATCAGACACGTCAACAACTTCAGTATACAGATGCTTTAAACATTTTAGGAAAGGAATTATAAAAAGCTCCCTCGTTATAATGAAAATCTAGTTATTAATTTATTGTTGCATTTTATGTTGTAGTGTCTCGACTTTGTGGTGCCCAACTTCCCCAAGATATGGAAGGAGATTGTCGATGGCAAGCTTTCCCCCGAGAATGTGTGCAAGACAATCAAGTTGTGCTAGGACCACAGTCATTGACAATGCCACAGCCGAACTTGCGTTGTTACCAAGGAAACCGTGGCCATGTTGAAATTGGCAGCCATCTTGAAAAATGTGTAGCATTTTCTAACGTTATAAGTTCGATTAAAAGTGATTTAAAAGTGCATAAATCAGACAATACGGATATCTGTATATACCTTATTTGATTACTTTGCTTAACAGGACACCTGGTGTTCTTCTTAAATTCAGTTAACAGTCAAAGTTTAAGTCTCTATGAAAACAATTGAATTAGTTTCATATTAGAATGTACATATATCTACGCCTACTAATATCCATATGTATATGAACTATTATGAAATAACGGCATGATTTTGTATATATTTGAAACATATCGAATTATCTATTCTGATGTATGTCCAAATATATTCTACATTGTTGATTTTTATAATAATGTTTGTAAATACATGATTACTTCCAATAAACACGTGAAGCTGCCGTTGAAAAAGTGCTTTATGTCGTGAATTAATCCCTAATTTAACTAATCATTCTGCTCACATCACTGTTGCCATAGAATTTAAAGTTCGCAGTAGGTAGCCACGTGGTTAGAGCAATTGCTCGTCACGATGAAGTCCGGGTTCTATTCACAAATAGGATTAATGTGTGATACTGTGATGATTCAAACACATTGGGCACAAAATATCATTCACTCACTCGTTACCTTTTCTCTTCACGTTAGGGTGTACGGGCAGCAGTTGACACATTATGTGGTTTTACCATGTGGAGAAAACTTAAAACAAAGGTTGTCTTTAAGTTTGGAGTCTCTAAATTAAAGTGTCGGTCCCACTTCAGTACTCCAGATGACGAGTTAACTGTTAAGTGGCAGTACCCTGGGAACGTATTATTTGTTGTTTGAGAGGCATTTTTATTCCCCGCCACGAAGGTGGGGGTGGGGTATATCGGTTTGAGCTCCGTCGGTCCGTCCAAGATGATGGGGACAGATTTTCTCAAAAAACGTTATAGGTACTGAAACCAAATTGGGTATCTGTTTTCAGGACATGAATGCCTTGGTGGAGGAAACCATGTTGTGTACAGTTTGTTGCAGAGTTATGGCCCTTGTCATGCGTTTCTTGACTTAGTGCACGGTATCCCCAATGGGGACAGATTTTCTCAGAAACCGTTATAGATAGGGAAACTAAAAGTGGGAAGTGCTTTCAGGACATGAATGTTTTGGTGGAGTTAAAAAAACAGGAACCAAATAGGAACAGAACATTGTACATTGTACCCATGTTGGGAATCGAAGCCGGGTCTTCAGCGTGACAAGCGAACGCTTTAACCACTAGGCTACCCCACCGCCCCCGATCCACAAAGCGTTCATAACCTTACGGCCTGTCGTAACTATATAGTTTATCATAGGGTTACGAATGTCGTAGCGCTACGGACGTTTTGTGGATCGGGACCCGGGAACCTGGTGATAGAAGCAGAAGTGTATTTGCCGCGATCGAGTGGCAGAATGGAAATCACTCATCCGGGTACATTTGGTCATAAAAAAACAGAGATTCAATACCACGTGGAGATTAACGAAGTTGTCCCGCGCTGGAATGCAGTCAAAAGAAAGAGTCTGTTTTCCAGCCAGTCTTGAAATCGCCATGTATCCGACTGACTGGTGTGAATCGAGCATAACCCCGCTTTGAACAGAATTCCCTTTGTCAGCTTTAGGAGGGGTGGACCTGAAGCGAAACGGGTATCAGACGTTTACAACTACTGTGGCAGTCACGTGCACCACAGGAAAACAGCAGCGCAAATAGAGTTGCGCAACAAAGAGAAAATGGCCAGTCTTCCTATAATGCGAGCGAAGACTGGTAATTTTTCTCTCTTGCGAAACCCTATTTGCGCCACACTTTGCCTGTGGTGCACCGATTGGGTGTTGACAAGTCGAGAAACATAACCGAGTCGGGCTTCGATACACACAATCACAGATTCCTGTCGTGCCCTAAAGACGCAACTCTGCACTGCGAATGAAGGCGCCTAATTTAAGACGACAACCACCCTTGCCCTCATACCTGCGTGAGACAGAATGACAGGCTGCTGTGAGACACATTGCTGTTGTGGGGTGTATGTAGCCTGAAATAGATCAACCACACTTGTGTGTTGTTACATAAACATCAATACGCCAACGTAGTGAGTGTATATAATCAAAGCCCGTGTTTGATGGTTTCTATTGGTGAGATAACGTGCAGTTTTACATCGAGTATGATTTAATGCCATTATGTAAATAGATGCAGTGTTATTTGGAAAATACACTGCGTATGTTTGAAACCAAGATATTGGACAGGTCTTAAGACAATTTACACATAATGGTCACCAGTATGAAGCGACAATACAATGGTATTGTGAGTGAGTGAGATAACAGCAACAGCCAGTAATACCCCACAAGACAACCTTGGACTCGACCAGCATTAACTATTTAGCTTGACCAGTATGACCTACTTAGCTCGACAAGCATGAACTAATTAGCTTCACCAGTATCACCTACTTATCTCGACCAGCATGAACTATTTGACTTGGCCAGTATCACCTACTATTCTCGACCAGCATGAACTATTTGACTTGGCCAGTATCACCTACTATTCTCGACCAGCATGAACTATTTGGTTTGATCAGTATGACCTACTTATCGCCACCAGCATGAACTATTCATCTGTAGCAGCATGAACTATTCATCTGTAGCAGCATGAACCATTCATCTGTAGCAACATGAACTATATATTTTGCTCTACCACTACATGGAACACAGCATTAAAGATCTCTACACATCAATTCAATGAAGATTACAAGACAACACAATTTGCCATAAAACAACACAGCATGGAAGATCTCTACACATCAATGCAATGAAGATTACAACACAACACAATTTGCCCAATACAACACAGCATAGAACATCTCTACACACCAATTCAATGAAGATTACACTACAACACAATTTTCCCAATACAACACAAAATGGAAGAGCTCTACACACCAATGCAATGAAGATTACAACACAACACAATTTGCCAATACAACACAGCATGGAAGATCTCCACACATCAATGCAATGAAGTTTACACTACAACACAATTTGCCCAATACAATATGTAAGATCATATTGCTACACAATATGAAAGATCGCAACACAAGACTTCACTGGAGATCACAATGCAGCACATTACGGAAGATCACACTACAATGCAGTGTGGGAGAACATAACACTATGAAGTATTAAGGATCACATAAAACGAAAAATACAATCTTACGTATGACAGTTTGTATCAATAAATAATTTTCACCATTGAATATATTAGTAAGCCAAGGTAAGGTTGACTCGAAGGTATAACTGAAGATATAACACCATTTAACTCCCGCCAGAGTATATCAGCTGTATATCTGACGCCCATATCACGTTCTTATAAGATAGCATAGGTTATCACTCACACTGCAACGAGGAACACAACAATTTCGAAGGATACGTTAGCTCTATATTAAGGTCTTACAGTCAACAGGCAGACTTCCCGGTGTTTACCCGTCACCATAGCAGGTTAACCTGAGCCAATTCTGTAATAACAGTTCTCTAGGATCTATCCACGGACAGATCAATAAGCTGTCCGTCTGGTGTCCAGCTGTGGACAGTTTGGGTTACGGTAAGTGTCGTAATTGTTGTTATCCGACCATGACCCGGTCTGTGAAGTTCGTACTGTACCACTGATGTTTCTCCGTAAGTACTCACTGAGTTACCAAGAATAGATTTACTCCGCTTTTAGCAATATTCCAGTAACATGAAGTCGGGGGACACCAGAAATGAGCTGGAGTCATTGTACCCATATGGAGAATCGAACCCAGATCTTCGGCGTGACGAGTGAACCCTAAATCAGCTTACTAAACCACCGCTCCTTGAATGCTACTAAACATAGTGCAAAATACTTCACGAAATTACCTATAGTTATTATCATCTTGATGAATTCATTTAATCAACGAAATTTACCTGTATAACCTATCAGTTATATATTGGTTGATGAGAAGACCCAGTCAGTTTCTCAACTGATTACATATATACTTACATATCTAAGTGTTGCTTCCGTAGCAAATCTCTTCGCTCAACCATATTAAATGCTTTTTTGTTTATTCTTCCATTTAGTCATGTGTATATTCTAGCCTACACACATCGCCTATTACGTTATTCACTTGCCTTTACGGTTTAAAATCAGTTTTGAAACAAATAATTAATCCTTAGTTTAAACACTTCAACTCCTAAATTAATCCCATACACACAGAGAGAACGGACGCCCAGTAATCTAAGGTGCTACAGCGTTGCGTCCCTTCGGCGCGCCACAATCCTGTGATCGTACCTTGCTTTCCTGTTTTTCCCTGATTCTGATTCTTACTGGTTGAAGTTTTCGTAAAAGTGGCAAGAATATGAAGCCTTGCATCAATTAGGGCTTCCCTCGCACATCAGGGTGACATCCCATAATAAAATAACGGAAAGCTCTTCCAAGTTGCGACATAACCCGAACACATATATCCCAATCTGTAATCCGGTACCTGTACACAGCGTACTTGTATGCCTCAGTCCTGTATATAATGGAGAGAGGTCGCTTGGTAAAATTAAGCCCTCAAACCAAAGTGGTCTAATAAATCAACGTAAAGAAATGATCGACCTCAGATCGATGTGTTTACGATCGGTTGTCAAGTATCAGTCAGTAAATACGGCCATGTTAACGCCCGGCTTGGGATTATAAATTATGCTAAGTTGAGCTGACCCGTGGTGATCACCGGGGAAGGATTATGTCGAAGGACTACAATCAGTTACTCTGTTGCGTTGTTGTGCTACGTATCTACGAAACGCGCTCTATGCCTGAAGTGAGTGTGTTCTGTGCATTGACAGTTTGATTTGGAACGGCAGCGAATGAATGGGAGCGTTTCATATGAAAGGTTACAAATAATCTTGTCTTATATAAAGAAAGTAGCTGAGAAGGATATGGGGCAGTAAACGCCTAAGTGTTTAGAAGGTAAGTGTTTAAATATTTAGCTGAACTTGAACTTGGTTGTAAAGTTTGCCCATGGTTTGATACATTAGTACATGAAAATTTGTGATTTAGATCACATGTTAGAGAGACAAATATACGGAACGCCTAAAGAAAAGGTGCTTGATACACTGTTTGAAAAGGGGAGAGAGACAGGCGTGTTGTGTGAGGGTAAAGGGGAGAGAGACAGGCGTGTTGAGTGAGGGTAAAGGGGAGAGAGACAGGCGTGTTGAGTGAGGGTAAAGGGGAGAGAGACAGGCGTGTTGAGTGAGGGTAAAGGGGAGAGAGACAGGCGTGTTGAGTGAGGGTAAAGGGGAGAGAGACAGGCGTGTTGAGTGAGGGTAAAGGGGAGAGAGACAGGCGTGTTGAGTGAGGGTAAAGGGGAGAGAGACAGGCGTGTTGAGTGAGGGTAAAGGGGAGAGAGACAGGCGTGTTGAGTGAGGGTAAAGGGGAGAGAGACAGACTAGTAGTAAACTACGTTTATAACGAACTGACAGATATAACGAACGAGGTCTTGTCCCGGTCACGTGCTGTATACTTTAGTCGAAATGCGTAAACCGAATTTCGGTTATAACGAACCAGAGAGAGAGAGAGAGAGAGAGAGAGAGAGAGAGAGAGAGAGAATGACATAAACTGTATGTTACATCGCATGATATAAACCTATTACACATTGTATGACATAAACTGTATGGCACATCACATGATATAAACCTATTACACATTGAATAAGATAAACAGTATCATACATTACTTGATGTAAACCTATTACACATTGTATGACATAAACTGTATGACACATCACATGGTATAAACCTATTACACATTGTATGACAACATCTGCATCACACATCGCATGATATAAAACCTATTACACATTTTATGGCATAAACTGTATCACACATCACATGGTATAAACCTATTACACATTGTATGACAACATCTGCATCACACATCGCATGATATGAACTGTATCACACATACAGAAAATAGACAGGAGAAATTAGATTATAAAGCAATTATAAAAACTGATTATATTTTCTTCTGTGACGGTAATTGAAAGTTTATGGATTGCATATGACTTCGTTTCGGAGGCTTTATAATGGGCTAAATGACCTGGTTAGATCGGCACCAGGTCATTTGACCTGGTAGTGTAACGACCTGGGTTGTCGGGGCACAGTTGACACAAAGAGTTTGCTAAACAGTAAACCGTATTCTGCCTGGCTACTCGAGTATGTTGTGGTGGTAGCGCCGTATTTGTGTCAAAGCTTCCGTAGGTTTGTAACCTACGAACACTATTGCCTATAATACTGTAAAGTTGGTATCTTGTTATAATGACATGATGTGTGGCTTCCTCATAGGTCTTTAGGACCAGCTCGGAGGTTTTGCAGTTGAATTGTATAAACAACCTTTTAATATGCATCGCATGCTGATTTTAGACTGGTCAGAAGTTGTCTGCAGATCGAAGGTGTTGTTTCTTTCACCCGCTGTCATCACGATTTATACGGCTAGTACAGTATTGTTTTACTTAAAGGAATCCCAATATATGAATATATTCACACACAGTCACATATACGCATATATTTGCATTTGTGTAAACTTCTTAGGTTACTTTCATCAATCCTCTTCTGCTTTAGTTGAACATGTAAAACCGAAGTATTTAAGCTGTAACATCTGACCTGGTAACAGAAGTTGTGTTTATGTTTTCGGTACGCCGTTATCAGGATTCCAGTCATGTGACGTACGACAAAAATGGTCAGTAGCAGAAAAAAAATCCAGTGACTGATAACATGAGCAGATAATCGACTGAATCACCAAGCGTGACCATCCCGCACATTAAATCGCCTTAACGAATAATGATAAATTACTGGATCAGTTCTTACGCACAATCCTAGACTAAGGCTTAGTCTCTGAATATATATAATTTTGATAGTAACAAACAAGCCCATTTAAATTGAAGAGGAGCCCTAGGGAGACCAGAGATTCAGAACCTGGGGAAATCTAGACTTGCTTCGTTTAGGGCTTTAGCACTACAGGGAAGGCTAGGATGTAGGGAAAATAATGTGGTTCAGGGACTGTGAGACAGACTAGCACAATCCCACAGGGGAGGTAACAAAGGGATACCGGGCACATGCACACATCTTCTCGTCCTTCCCCACTACAGCTAGGCAAAGTAACAAACAACTCTTCCCGAACAATTATAAAGTGCAACGCTAGCTTCTTACATATTTTCAATGTGTTGTATTTTTCAAATGTCAGTTTCCAGGATTGTACTGTTGATCTCTTGGCAGATTTAAACGTGCTAAATGAACGGATTTGTGACGGTGTTATCTCAAACTAGAATTCGTGTTTCACTCTTCAATCACAGCATGGCTCTACTGTTATTTACGGGACTGTTTCTATAAGGAAGTGAAAGAGGCCTCTATAAGCAATTTGTTGCTAATTAGCTATCCACTTATACAGGAACATTAACCGCACAGTGAATTTGACTCTTGACTTTTGTAAGAAATGACTGGAAGCTTATGTCTAGGAATAACAACATGGATGAAGATTCAAACTCAGAGAACAGTATTACAGCATCCCACTACAACATCTTTTTTTCTGTCAGTTCGCTCAAAATTATTCCACAAATTGCACATGCGTATATTTTGTGTGTCAGTTAAAAATAATAGTTACCGTTGATTGTGAGTTTAGAAATAACTTAAACTTTTGTTCGCTTATACCACTTTTCGCTAACATTCAGCTGTAACCTGTACCTTTCTATACTGATTCATTCCAGGAGTGGTAGCCTAGTGTTTAAGGCGACTGCCGAAGGTTCGGTTTCATTCCCACAACTTCTATTATGTGATATTGCTGGAATAAGCGGCGCTGAACCTTACTCACACAATACTCTTTCAAAATATTGTACTCAGTTGTAGAGATCGCTGTAATTTACTTGTTCATTTGTTACTAATACATGTTTTGGGTAGCACATACTTCCTTGTAATAAGTTGAGTATCACATCCTAAATTCATACACAGCCACCCTCGTTACGTCCTGCCAGAAGGCAACTGAAACAAGCCTTTAATCCTTTCTGGTAAATCGTTAAATACGAATAACCCGGCAACGATCACACCGCAACACAAACCAACATGTGAAAGCGAAAATAAATATAGATCTAGTTCTTTTAATCATCATTTGTTCACATTTTCATTGCTACATTTTGTTTCTTTTCCTTGAATCCAGATTTGAGGAAGAATCATGACGAGCGTGCACCCTACAGCGTACCCCGGAGGGGGTCAACCGATAGCAGCACAACCCATGGCTGGAGGTATGTGACCGATTTATAGTCATAAATAATTATATGTCGGGGATGTGTTCTCTAATAGACACCACTTCGTCAACATGAGGGTCCGATCTCAACAGATATCATGTCACAACCGGGTGTCATAAGATCTACCATCAGTGCAGATGTAAAGTACAATTAACTAAATAATTAATCATTTTTATTTTAATTTTATGTATAATATATCGTTAAGTTTTCATTATTTTTGTCTGGAACATAAACGATACCCTATTGGTAATGAGGCGCCAATGAAATAACAGTGTAACTATCTAATATCATGCGAGAAAATCACTGGCAGTATTAATGAAAACTGTTCCGTTGTTGTTTAACGCCGCACTTCAAATATTACATGACGGCCACCTGTAAATGACCTGGCATTGATGAGGATCAAACACACCTGTGATGATGTTGTGGGCAACGTCCATGTTGTTGGCATACGAATGAATGAGTGAGTTTTAGTCCAGCAATATCACGGCGGGGGACACTAGAAATGGGCTTCACACATTGTGCCCATGTGGGGAATCGAGCCCGGGTCTTCGGCGTGACGAGCGAACGCCTTAACCACTAGGCTACCCCACCAACCCCTGTTGGCGTACGATGACACAATCACCAAACTCACCTAGCTTGACTACCAGATCGATGAAGTCGGTTTGTGCAATAATCATAGGTTGCTTGGGATCTGTTCTCCACGCAGTCTATGAAGCTCTATATATATTGATTACCGCGTAAGGACTGTTAAGGTGTTTGGTATGGAATCCTAGAAGGGACAATGTCGCGTTGTCACTCTTACAAAAAAAAGCGAAGGGTGTCCAAATTAACCAAGGTGCGACAATGCGACTACGCGACATTTTGGACATTTGTCGCACTTAATTTTGACACATTATGCTGGTTTATGTAATGGCGACATAGCGACAATGTCCCTTCTAGGATTCCATAGTTTGAACATGACATATATATGTATATGTGACTCACGAGGAAGTACGTGTTGCAGTGCCCCCACAATCAGGAGCAGTGGGGTGGTCTCAGACTAGTCAGGTGCCGGCAGGGTGTCCCCCCGGGCTTGAGGGTCTCGTAGCCATCGACCAGCTGCTCGTCAAACAGAAAGTGGAAGTCTTTGAAGGTATTGTACAGCTATGATCCCTCTTTGGAAGTAGAAAATATCACAGGGGGCACTACCTATACATGTATGCTTATGCTTCAAGCAGCATTTTTCAAGACTCTAAAGAATAATGATCTTAAGATTTATGCAATCAAAGATTCTAAAATATACTTTTCCTTAAATTTACAAACCGTAAATTCAGATGCCTGCGAAGAAAGTTATGGTTCAGGGCCCCGTTCAACAAAACCTACGACATTCGTAACTCTATGATAAACTATATAGTTACGACAGGTCGTAACGTTACGAACACTTTGTGGATCGGGACCCTGAACATACTGTGTAGGTAAATACTTCGTAACGCTGAGGAATGAAACTACATTAATATGCAGCAATTCCAAGAACATAACATAGCCATTGCATAACACTTCATGAGGAAACATCTATTGTAGTATGTTCCTTAATCACAAATTTATACGATAAGCAAGAAGCGAAATGTTTGTACCGTTTTGTTGTTGAAGTTACAAACCATTGCCCCCTTTCACAAAGCTCTCGTAGCGCTAAGACTATCGTAAGTCAATGTTACAGAATAGGAAGTACGAATGTTACGAGAAAAGTTACGAGATCTTAGGCTTACTAGAGCTTTGTGAAACGGGGCCCAGGCCCTCGTTCCTCAAAGCGATCGTAGCGCTACGACAGTCGTAAGTCTATGTTAAAGTGTCGGAGTTACGATCACCTTAGCGCTACGATCGCTATGTGAAACGGGGCCGCTAGGGCGGACAGTGTTATCTAACACGTCATTACTCGATGACGCTTTAACATAATCTATTTATACAGTCTTGTGTATACATTATTGACTTTTCAGCGATCACTGGGTACGAAACAAACAACAAGTATGAAATCCTCAACACTCTAGGACAGAGGCTGTTCATGGCAGTAGAAGGTATGTTGCTGGTATTCGCAAGGATGTTCACACGACAGTAGAAGGCATGTTACTGGTATGTGTAGGGCTGTTTATGTGTCCCCAGCACTTGCATTGCACATGTATAGTCGATTGCCACAGGCGAGATTCGTATGTGTGCTGCGGCAGTGGATGGCCTTGTGGTTAAAGCTTTCGTTCGTCAGGCTGAAGACACGGGTTCAGTTCCTCACACGGGTACCTCGCCCTGATATTGCTGGAATATTGATACTCCCTCCCTCTTATGTATAGCAAGTCACGATGTGACTTTATATTTCACTCACTCACCCATGTATACTATCACCGTCTGTGTACTCCCCAGATACCTGTTGCTGCACCAGGAACTGTTGTGGTAGCAGCAGACCCTTCGACATCAAGATCCTTGACAGAAACAACAGGGAGGTCATCCACCTTACCCGTCCCCTTCGCTGTTCGTCCTGTTTCTTCCCCTGTTGTCTACAGGTAAGCCTGACCCGTTCAGACCATATAGATCCGGGTTAGAATTGGTCTTCAGTAACCCATGCTTGTCGTAAGAGGCGACTATTGGGATCGGGTGGTCAGGCTCGCTGACTTGGTTGATACATGTCATCGTATACCATTTGCGTAGATCGATGCTTATGATATTGATCACTGGACTGTTTGGTCCAGGTCGATTATTTACAGACAGCCGCCATATAGCTGGATCATTGCTGAGTGGTAAAGAATAAACCAACCAACCTAACCCGTTCAGCGCCACGCCTCTTGAAATATTTTTAAAGGCCTCTATGGAAGCAGTATCAGTTTGGCGTAGGATGTTCCTATGTTCAGCCTTCGTTAATGAGCTTATGGCATGTTTGTCTGTGGTGTGAACCTGAACCTGAACCTCTGAAGCTGTAAATGGACACATTATTAGTATCTCTCAAGTTATGCCACCAGAACATGATCCGGAAATTGTGATGCGATTTTCAATATGGCCGCCACGGCAGCCATCTTGTGTCCGATGGGCAGCCATTTTTGCATGATAATACTGTATGATGAAGTCAAATTTGTCCATCGCCTTCCATTACGCTAATGCAATTAAGGCGGACCTTTTAATTTCAAATTACTACAGTTAGTCTGTGCTACCAATTCACATTCATTACGAATTAATCGGGTGGTCCTCATCTTCTTTTTACATTACATCGCTTTATTGAATCCTTAGATTGTTTTGACATTTGCACTCAATCTGATCATATCCCAGCCTTGGTCTCCTCTTTAGATTACTGCAGAAAGGGTACTTGGGTGGCAGCCATGTTAAAAAATACTGTCATTGATTTTGCTAACCTCCTTTGTTGAAAACTGTCACGAAATTTGTGTACAAAATGTGTGTACAACAATGATCCGTTAATGGGGAGTTTGTTTACCCGGACAAATGTACGAAGTTACACACATTTTGCACTGTTACCCACTGCTATTTCAGAAAGTGGAGGTTCAAGCCCCACTCGGCCACACAATCGGGTATGTGCGGCAGGGGTGCCACCCGTGTCTACCCAAGTACAAGCTGATGGATGAGAATGATGAGACGGTTCTCCGTATCGAGGGACCCTGCTGTCAGTGGAACATATGTGGTGATGTGGAGTTTGATGTAAGTGAATATACTTACATAACGATGTTACATATACTTCGATGCTGGAGACACGTTGATGTTCAATAGTTGATTGTGCTGTATCACATTTGTTTATTATCTGGACCGGGGCGGTGGGGTACCTAGTGGTTAAAACGTTTATGTATTTCTAGTCTGCATATAATTGTAGGTGGACTAAAGGCTTCAACGCAATACCATATGTCAGAGACCCATTTCAGCAAAGTCGTACAGTCTCACCACTTCCCCTCTATATTACATTTCTATAATATACTCATGGAAACAAATAAGGGAACACATGAAAGAACAAGTGTTCCTCTATTTATTTCCAAAGTTTCACCCACAGTGCAATACATACCTTGTGAAGAAACCTGGAACAGAATAAAGCAACACCTGTACTTTCATGTGTTCCCTTATTTGTTTCCATGAGTATATATTGATATATTATGTGCATATATTCATTTGAGCGAATCATCTGGTGCAATATTATTTGCAACCATAGCTTTGGCAGTGGTTCTGCGACACAGGAGACCTATCTAAGCAAATGAGGAGTTTATAGAATATTGTAAAAGAACGCCTGGCATTGATGTATTGAGCTTTAAAGTAGATCCTGTGAGGTGACCTCATTTGCATATTTTTCGAGCTGTGATAAAAAAGGTTAATCGGATTGTTTCTAAGGATCAATACTGCAAGCTTGATATGCCTGTATCTCAAACAGTCGTGCAGATACAGCCCACTTTATGTCAGTCTCGATAAATAACGTCAGTTAAAACGAATACCGATCGAGTCTTCACTCCTTTTGGAACAAATTTCTATTGAGGGGGAAATAGCTGTAAAGAGTATATGATTACAATATGAATAGATCGCATAAAATCAGTAATGACACCGGGTGTTTGCGAGAAGTGGAAGTATGTCTTCTCCTTCCCACACCACCGACCATTCACTCATATACTTTGGTACTTTGGTTTTGCAATGAAAGTTTCTTCTAGTATTTTGTATTACATATATAGTAACTATAGGTGATTTTACATTACTGTATATGTTACAGACCAATGTGGAATGATTACAGAAGGTGAAGTGTTTGTCATATCCAAACCCGAATGTACGATCTGTAAGATATATATTCTTCTGTCAACTTTCTATTCAAAGTATTTAATGATTCGAGCAGTAAATAACATAATACTATCAATTTGCTTTTACTTTAGGTGAAGTCCGAAGATGAACGATTCGATGTGGGCAGAATTTCTAAACAGTGGTCCGGGCTGGTAAAGGAACTGTTCACAGACACCGACAACTTCGGCGTCACCTTCCCCATGGACCTTGATGTCAAGATGAAGGCGGTGATGTTAGGCGCAGTCTTCCTCATTGTGAGTAACACATGGCGCCCACACTGATGCTGAAGATACTCTTCCTCGTATGATTATAATGAAGGGTCAACAATGATGCAAATATCAGCTATACTGGATAGGGAATCATAGATATCAGGAAAGATATATTTTTAAATATCCCCGAAGATATTTTTGGTCCCTAACATTTTTTGGTTCAGTGTGTTCAAAAGATGCCATAGCTTGTACATTTTGTAACGATTAACTCGTGTTCAGTTTGAAGGTATTTCGTCAAGAGTATATTTAACAATTGCACATCTGACTTGAGTTTTCTGATTTATCAACCCTACATGCCTGCTTGTCCTGGTAGCTAGGTGAGGTGAGGTGAAATTGGGTTTAACGTCGTGCTTGAGAATATATCGCTCATATGACGACGTCTGGTAGCTAGAATCCCACCGACGGACAAAATTTTTCAGCTTGTTGAGAGGCATACCAAGAGCTTTAGAAGCTCGTTTCAAATACTAATGGCATAAAATAGTTTTCCTCGTTCACATTGAAATGAATAATCCACCTCACAAATCATCTGTTTCACATCTGACAGGGGCGGATACAGCTTTTAGTAGAGGTGACTATTGAGGGTGAAACAACTATTGCAATAGTTTTTTTCTCCTTGAATTTTCTCATTTGAAGTCATTTCCCAAATGAACGTATAGTATATATGAACTAAAAAACAAGTTAAAGTAGTTTCAGTCAATTTAATAACTGACAAGAAACTTGAAACCCAGATTAGGTAAACAGTTAAAACATAAACTCAGTGAAGCTACAAGTCTGCAATCTAAATCAAAGTGAACAAATCTGGTACTTCCTGTAATTTGCACTGCGCATTTAACATCGGAAGTCAATTACTAAACTATCGATAGTCACACATACTATCGATGCATCGATAGTTTTTCGTTTCTACCATCGATTAATTGCTATCGGAGACTCAACAATTGCAATGCATCGATAGTTGGATGTATCGTTACAGCCCTACCTTTTAGAGAAAGTGGCTGCGTGGGTGCGTGCGTGCGTGCGTGCGTGCGTGCGTGCGTGCGCGCTCTCGTGAGAAATGGGGTTTTCACGGGTCATTTGATAAACTTTGAGAACAAAGGGGGGGGGGGGTGCGTGCGCACCCCTGCAAAAACAACATCCATCCCCCACCCCGATCCGCCTATGTCAGATGAGTAACCCATAATGTCAACAACGACTAAACTATGTAAGACGTGCAGTATACGTGTTTGCGCTGTCCCTTCTACCGCTGTGCTCCCTCCTCTAAGATGTAAGACGATGGTACATTTCCTATGTCTAGGCCCGAATATGTATACAATAAGTATTTACATTTCAAACACATATGGACAGTGTATTATTCACTGAAGGTGCCGACGGGTGGGATGCGCGTCATGTGATTAGCCAACCAATGGATTAAGTAATGACAATGACTTTGTTTGCATATTCATGGGTATTTCATTAATTTCTGATTTTATTTGTATCAGGACTTTATGTACTTCGAAAACAACAAGGACAGCGTTCGAAAAGAAGCCAACATGGTACTCTAGGTAAATCTTTCACGACGCTTACTCAAGAAAGTGTAACACAGGTGAGTACCAGTTTTAGTGGTTAGGATGCTACTGGTTAAGAGATTTCGAGAATGTGAATGGGTCACATCCCAGCCAATCATATGGCAGCTGAGTTAGAGAGTCGATCATCACAGCTCACAACACAGATTGAAATAGAAACTGTTGAGAGCACTATGGGAGAAACAGTGAAAGAAACAAATACTTGTGTAGACATGTTTCTAAAAGTTAATATATATTTGTTTCGAATCACAACAAAACAAATTACTTTTGAATATCTTATTTCGTTTTCGAAGCGAGTCATCTCTCAGTCTAGCTACATCCAATATAAGACATACTAGGCCATATGGAAATGAAATCCGCCCTTAAGACAACAGAACCGTTTGTCTCACAGTCCCTGAACCGCATTATTTCCCATCCATCAAACCCTTTCTGCAGCGCAAAAGCCCTAAATGAAGCAAGTCTAGATTTCCTCAGGAACTAGGGTTCTTTTCAATTTAAGTGCAGTTATTTGTTTCAGAATAATATATTGTCGTGGACTAGGCGTTAGTACAAGAAGGGAAGGGCACTAGAGACGCATATGCGTGTCGTACATGTACCATTGTTTTTTCCCCGAACATCAGCGCCATCACAGACTTGGCTACAGATTCATCGTCTACGTTGATACGGCCTCTGGAAATATATCATTTTAATTGAAACAAGCAGCTTGTGAGATTGGAGATTCAGAACTTGAATCTGTGGGAAATCTAGACTTCCTATATATAAGGTTATCGCGTTGCAGTAAGTAATGAAGGGACATTACGTTTGGTTCAGGAACTGTGAGAACAAGACACACTAACGGTGACACGGCATATGCCCTGACCACACCAACAAAACTCGGTTTTTGAATGGTCGTTTCTTCTATACTGAGATAAACAAATAAAGGAACACATGAAAATTCAAGTGTCCCTTTAATATTTTCCAGTTTTCATCACCAGCTTTGAATAGCGCTGTGAGAGGAAATCTGAGAATATATAAAGGAACACTGACATGAAGTGGTGTTCCCTTAAATGTTTCCTTCAGTATATTTTGCTAGGATTACTGACTGACTAAGTTTGGTTTTACGCCGCTTTTAGCAATATTCCAGCAACATCACGGCGGGGGACACCAGAAATGGGCTTCACACATTGTACCCATGTGTCTTCGGTGTGACGAGCCAACGATTTAACCATTAGGCTACCCCACCGCCCATTTTGCTAGGATTAGCCATGTCATATTAATAAACTTCGTTAGTAACACGTTGTTTATTTCGTTTCAGAGGATGGCGAAGAGACCATCGTGCGTCGTGTCATATTGGTTAGGAACATAAAATCCAGTGTTCTCAACTTCTTGCCCTACCTAACAGCATTATCTCTATATATGTTCATGAAGTAAACACTGATAACTTTATTATGGGGGCAACGCACAGTGACCAGCTTGTACTTGTTTCTTTACTACTCAAACAATCTAAGAAAGCATCCCGTTTCCATACCAATATATTTGATTTGACATGGCCATAACAGATTAACTATACTCATGTGCAAAATTCAGCTGTTGTTAAATTTCATCAGAATAGCATCTCAACATCTAAACATCTAATCTGAAATTCATTTTTAAAATGCTGAATTTATGACATTTACATTCATATATAAATCCTTTATAAATTCGGCAAAATTAAGCAATACCCATATACAACAAGCCGGGACAGACGTACATTTGGAAAAACATAGAGATTATGAATACACATGTTGAACATCGTTCTGCAAAGCGATCTTAGCGTAAAGACAATAACGCGAAATAGTATCATAGATTTACTATAAGAACGCTTTGTAGAACTGGGCCTGGGTCTGCGCATGTCAAGATGCGACCATAGCCCGCTGTTACACTTGCGACTTGCTACAGACGTCGTAGTTAGATTGTTTAAATGAAACAGGTCATAAATGATTTAATTCTGAAGAATTATTTTTACAAACAGAACAGAATATCCATATTACCGTTAATCAGTATGTGATTTATTTAATTTGAAAAAGAAACATTGTGATTATGATTCGATTATTTGTAGAGAGATACACATGAGAGTATTTAAACATCTACACTGATTTTTTTTAACCAGTAAGTGTGTATGATATGTCTGCGATGCCTTTATGGAAGTAACTTTTCAATCGTTGCCTCTATAACTTACTTATATCCATTGTATAGAAGAACATAGTGTTAATGCTGTGGGATCCAGATAGAGCTTATCTCCCTTTGATCAGTAAATCGAGACGCAATATTGCATTGAAAAATATACAGGTTATGGGTATCTTTCTGTACAAGCCTTGGTTATAAACATTGCAGATGGATGCATATGTGTGTGTATGTATACGCGCTTTAGAGGGTAACGTGCATTCTACAACAGATACCTGAACCCAACCCACTCGCCGGGCAAGCCTCTGAAACATTGAGGGTGATGAAATAAATCAGGTATCTTTAACCACAAACGACGTTTGTTTTACTGAAAGAATAATTGTTGAATCTGTCGGAACAGCATCGTCTAACACCAGTATTTTGCCACTTTAGTTTTCACTTCCAAAGAAGTATGACGTTGTTGCCGAGCAACGTCACGGACGTGTGTGAACTGCACAAGTGTTGACATGTACAAGTACAAGTGTTGACAAGTACAAGTACAAGTGTTGACAAGTACAAGTACAAGTGTTGACATGTACAAGTACAAGTGTTGTATACAATGAGACCCCGGATATCCGGACAGATTCGTTTTTACTGAATATCCGGATATCTGGATTTCTGTCATCCAGGCTTACTGTATATTACCGTCTATAAGCCAAATTTTGAGGATAAAAACGCAGTGTGTAGAAGGGGTCGGCTTATCTAAAGTATACAGCTAACGAATTTCGTCATATCGGTTATTTTTACCATTGAGCATTCCACCTACCTTTTTCCTTTACTTTAGTACTTTTATACATGAATTAAATGTACATAATGAGATTGGCCCTTTTATCAATGTGTTATGGTTTAGAAATAAAATGTATAAATATCTATGTATCTATGTTTTTGTAAGTTCGTGGTATTGTTGAGACCATCATCTTTAAGGAATCTCTAGTTGTAAAACGAAACGTTTGAGGGAGTGAGTGAGTTTAGTTTTACGACGCACGCAGCAATATTCCAGCATATGGCGGCGGTCTGTAAATAATCGAGTCTGGACCAGACATTCCAGTGATCAACAACGTGAGCATCGATCTGCGCAATTGGGAACCGATGACATGTGTCAACCAAATCAGCGAGCCTGACTACCCGATCCCGTTAGTCGCCTCTTACGACAAGCATGGGTTACTGAAGGTTCATTCTAACCCGGACCTTCACGGGTTTATTGTCAGGTCATATGGAAGGAGGAGTGAGTGAGTGAGTGAGTGAGTGAGTGAGTGAGTGAGTGAGTGAGTGAGTGAGTGAGTGAGTGAGTGAGTGAGTGAGTGAGTGAGTGAGTGAGTGAGTGAGTGAGTGAGTGAGTGAGTGAGTGAGTGAGTGAGTGAGGGAGGGAGGGAGGGAGCGAGTGGGTAGTGCATGTCGTTTCCATGCCATAGATGTTTCTATTTGGTGAAATCTGTATTCAGATATCGCAGTGTGGGAGAACATAACACTATGACTTATTAAGGATCACATAAAACGAACAATAAAATCTTACATATGACAGTTTGAACCAATAAATAATGTTCAACATTGAATATATTAGTAAGCCAAGGTAAGGTTGACTCGAAGGTATAACTGAAGATATAACACCATTTATGTCCCGCCAGAGTATATCAGCTGTATATCTGACGCCCATATCACACGGTCTTATAAGATAGCATGGGTTATCACTCACACTGCAACAAGGAACACAACAATTTCGAAGGATACGTTATAGATCTATATTAAGGTCTTACAGTCAACAGACAGACTTCCGGGTGTTTACCCGTCACCATAGCGATTAACATGAGCCAGTTCTGTAATACCAGTTCTCTAGGATATATACACGGACAGATCAATAAGCTGTCCGTGTTTTGGCCAGCTGTGTACAGTTGGGTTACGGTAAGTGTCGTAATTGTTGTTATCCGACCATGGCCTGGTCTGTGAAGTTCGTACTGTACCACTGATGTTTCTCCGTACGTACTGACTGAGTAACCAAGAATAGATTTATTCCGCTTTTAGCAATATTCGAGTAATATGACGCCGGGGGACACCAGAAATGGGCTGGAGTCATTGTACCCATATGGAGAATCGAACCCAGATCTTCGGCGTGACGAGTGAACCCTAAATCAGCTTACTAAACCGCCGCTCCTTGAATGCTACTAAACATGGTGCAAAATACTTCACGAAATTACCTATAGTTATTATCATCTTGATGAATTCATTCCATCAACGAAATTTACCTGTATAACCTATCAGTTATATATTGGTTGATGAGAAGACCCAGTCAGTTTCTCAACTGATTACATATATACTTACATATCTAAGTGTTGCTTCCGTAGCAAATCTCTTCGCTCAACCATATTAAATGCTTTTTGGTTTATTCTTCCATTTAGTCATGTGTATATTCTAGCCTACACACATCGCCTATTACGTTATTCACTTGCCTTTACGGTTTAAAATCGGTTTTGAAACTAATACACACAGAGAGAACGGACGCCCAGTAATCTAAGGTGCTACAGAAAGCTAGGCAGCGTTGCGTCCCTTCGGCGCTACAATCCTGTGATCGTACCTTGATTTCCTGTTTTTCCCTGATTCTGATTCTTACTGGTTGAAGTTTTCGTAAAAGTGGCAAGAATATGAAGCCTTGCATCAATTAGGGCTTCCCTCTCACATCAGGGTGACATCCCATAATAAAATAACGAAAAAGCTCTTCCAAGTTGCGACATACCCCGAACACATATATCCCAATCTGTTATCCGGTACATGTACACAACATACTTGTATGCCTCAGTCCATTATATAATGGAGAGAGGTCGCTTGGTAAAATTAAGCCCTCAAACCACAGTGATCTAATAAATCAGCGTAAAGAAATGATCGACCTCAGATCGATGTGTTTACGATCGGTTATCAAGTATCAGTCAGTAAAAACGGCCATGTTAACGCCCGGATAGTGATTATAAATTATGCTAGGTTGAGCTGACCCGTGGTGATCACCGGGGAAGGATTAAGTCGAAGGACTACAAACAGTCTCTCTGTTGCGTTGTTGTGCTACGTATCTACGAAACGCGCTCTATGCCTGAAGTGAGTGTGTGCATTGACAGTTTGATTTGGAACGGCAGTGAATGAATGTGAGCATTTCATATGAAAGGTTACAAATAATCTTGTCTTTTATAAAGAAAGTAGCTGAGAAGGCTATTGGGCAGTAAACGCCTAAGTGTTTAGAAGGTAAGTGTTTAAATATTTAGCTGAACTTGAACTTTGTGATTTAGATCGCATGTTACAGAGACAGATATACGGAACGCCTAAAGAAAAGGTGTTTGAGACACTGCTTAAAAAGGGGAGAGAGACAGACTAGTAGTAAACTACATTTATAAAGAACCCGCTTATACCGAACTGACAAATATATAACGAACGAGGTTTTGTCCCGGTCACGTGCTGTATACTTTAGTCGAAATGCGTAAATTCGAGAGAGAGAGAGAGAGAGAGAGAGAGAGAGAGAGAGAGAGAGAGAGAGAGAGAGAGAGAGAGAGAGAATGACATAAACTGTATGACACATCACATGATATAAACCTATTACATATTGTATGACAAAAAACTGTATCACACATCACATGATATAAACCTATTACACATTGTATGTCATAAACTGTATCACACATCACATGGTATAAACCTATTACACATTGTATGGTATAAACTGTATCACACATCACATGGTATAAACCTATTACACATTGTACGGTATAAACTGTATCACACATCACATGGTATAAACCTATTACACATTGTATGACATAAACTGTATCACACATCACATGGTATAAACCTATTACACATTGTATGTCATAAACTGTATCACACATCGCATGATATAAACCTATTACACATTGTATGACATAAACTGTATCACACATCACATGGTATTACCTAGTACACATTGTATGTCATAAACTGTATGACACATCACATGGTATAAACCTATTGCACATTGTATGACATAAACTGTATGACACATCACATCATATAAACCTATTACACATTGTATGACATAAACTGTATCACACATCACATGATATAAACCATATTACACATTGTATGACATAAACTGTATCACACATCACATGATATAAACCTATTACACATTGTATGACATAAACTGTATCACACATCACATGATATAAACCTATTACACATTGTATGACATAAACTGTATCACACATCACATGATATAAACCTATTACACATTGTATGACATAAACTGTATCACACATCACATGATATTAACCTATTACACATTGTATGACATAAACTGTATCACACATCACATGATATAAACCTATTACACATTGTATGACATAAACTGTATCACACATCACATGGTATAAACCTATTACACATTGCATGACATAAACTGTATCACACATCACATGGTATAAACCTATTACACATTGTATGACATAAACTGTATCACACATCACATGGTATAAACCTATTACACATTGTATGACATAAACTGTATCACACATCACATGGTATAAACCTATTACACATTGTATGACATAAACTGTATCACACATCACATGGTATAAAACCTATTACACATTGTATGACATAAACTGTATCACACATCACATGGTATAAACCTATTACACATTGTATGACATAAACTGTATCACACATCACATGGTATAACCTAATACACATTTATTATGACATAAACTGTATCACACATCACATGGTATAAACCTTTATTACACATTGTATGGACATAAACTGTATGACACATCACATGGTATAAAACCTATTACACATTGTATGTCATAAACTGTATCACACATCGCATGATATAAACCTATTACACATTGCATGACATAAACTGTATCACACATCACATGGTATTAAACCTATTACACATTGTATGACATAAACTGTATCACACATCACATGATATAAACCTATTACACATTGTATGACATAAACTGTATATCACATCATCATGATATAAACCTATTACACATTGTATGACATAAACTGTATGACACATCACATTGATATAAATATTACGCATTGTATGGCATAAACTGTATCACACATCACATAAACCTATTACACATTGTGAAAACTGTATCACACATCACATGATATAAACCTATTACACATTGTATGACATAAACTGTATCACACATCACATGATATAAACCTATTACACATTGTATGACATAAACTGTATCACACATCACATGGTATCAACCTATTAACCGGTATAAACTGTATCACACATCACATGGTATAAACCTATTACACATTGTATGACATAAACTGTATGTATCACATGGTATAAACCTATTACACATTGTATGGCATAAACTGTATCACACATCACATGGTATAAACCCTATTACACATGACATAAACTGTATCACACATCACATGGTATAAACCTATTACACATTGTATGACATAAACTGTATCACACATCACATGGTATAAACCTATTACACATTGTATGACATAAACTGTATCACACATCACATGGTATAAACCTATTACACATTGTATGACATAAACTGTATCACACATCACATGGTATAAACCTATTACACATTGTATGACATAAACTGTATCACACATCACATGGTATAAACCTATTACACATTGTATGGCATAAACTGTATCACACATCACATGGTATAAAACCCATTACACATTGTATGACATAAACTGTATCACACATCACATGGTATAAACCTATTACATTGTATGACATAAACTGTATGACATGATATAAACCTATTACACATTGTATGACATAAACTGTATCACACATCACATGGATATAAACATATTACGCATTGTATGACATAAACTGT